AAAAATAAAATCTTTAAAAACAAAACAAAAAGAAATCTAAACCTAAATCACTTCCTGTGTGATTCTCCCTATGATGAGACAGAATGTGTTGAACGAATACACACACATACAATCAGACTTGTCACTGGGCAAAACTGTCAAGTAGTTTCAATCTGATTTTGATACCTTATGTGTACACTGACACGGGGTAAACGAGCACATCTGAATGGCGACAGATGGAAACTAGACTTTTGGTGGTGAGAAAACATTTTCAAATCCCTCATTTGTTTTCTATTAAAAATTTCAAACATTAATTTTAACTTTAACCAATAATCCATGTACATATTTTATATCAAGAATGCCTTTTTGGTGTTGTGAGTGGTTACATATTTTATATCAAGAATGCCTTTTTGGTGTTATTCATTGCCAGTTAGTTTTAAAATGGTCATCTAAGGACAAGGAGCATCCCAAAGTAAACAATACGTGGAGTGATAATACAAGGGGCTAAGTGTTAGTATCTACACTGCATTCTTGAACCACTAACTACTAGGCCACTGGCCTAACTGCACTAGTTTCACAGGACTAGCAACCACCAATCGTCATATTGCTGAGTTGGGGTACAAACTGCACAGAAATGATAGATCTGAGCTTAGATTGTATATAGAACCTAATCATGCCAAGTCCATACCATAAACCCATTTGTTACTTTATGTGGATTTCTGTTCTCGATACACATGGAAGGTATAACCAAAGAAAATAAAAAGTGAGTTCTAGAAGCAAAAGACTAAACTTCTAAAAAGCTAACCATTAATTAGACTAAGCTCTGCTAGCTCAAGCCTTGGGTTCGGAAAGCCAAAGTGGAGGTTCCCATTCATGGAAGTTTAGCCTACGTGGCCACGAAACAGGTCTAAGCAAAGCCTAAATTTCCTTAAGGAGTTCCATGTTTCAGTAAAGTAGGGACTTTGTTGTGTGTGTGGAACTCTGAGACAGAGTTCAGATATTGGTTCAAAGGTGCTAGTCACCTATAATAAATGAAAGGCTCTGAAGAATCAAATTAGCCAGTAAAATTCCAGTCTAGCGCCCCATCTGGTCACTCTGGGATTTGGCCAAAACAGATATGCTGACAGCATCCATGCCTTACAAAACATGTGGAGGGGAAGGGAAATGCCCGTCTGGATCAAACTGCAATCACGGCAATTGCAGCCGCAGTGATGGCTGTAAGCAGAGATCAAAAAGCTAAAGTGCTTCCATCTTGCTCCAAAGCAGTGACGGGAGGAAGATCAAGATGAGGGAAGCCAGGCAGTGGGAGGTGAAGGACAATGTGATACGGTAAATCACGGTAAGCACGACATCACGCTCATCGGGGCCTCCTTCTGGCTGAGATTCAAGACTCCTGTAAGTGAGAATATTCAGTATATTGGACTGTGACTTTACAAAAGGACCAAGTGATGAACAAACCTCCTGAAAGCCATAGGGACCAAACATGATAGGCTTAACATGCCGACCAATATTTTCCTGAATTTCTTTGAAGTTGTCCCCTTGACTTTTAATAGATCCTGCGCCCAGGACCCAAACCAGCAAAACCCTGGGCTGCTGAAGCGGAGCTCACGAACCTAACCACTTGGCCACCGGGCCAGCCCTATTTTTTTTTTTTTTTAAACACATAGATGTCATAGGTCAGATACTTGGTTTACTTACATTTAACAGTGACTTATGAATTATTTTTACAGTACCTGTTAGGAAATACAATTAATTTTTACATATCTGTTTGGATTAAAGCTAAGATCCAGGGAATAAGTATGTACAGGTCTCCTAGTTGCCTCTGATCTCATCTCCTGACCCCAGCCTCAGGGCAATCACTGACCTTCCTTCTCTTGCTATAGTTTTGCCTCTACTTGTGGCTTCAATTTGCCTTCCCATGATAACCAATGACCTTGAGTATCTTTTCATATGTATACCGATCACTGCCTATATTTTCTTTACTGAAGCATCTATTCATCTTTTACTAGATTTTTATTGGATTGGCTGTGTTCTTATAACAATTTTAAGAGTTCCTTATAAATTCTTGTACATACATCCTTTGTCTGATTTATATATTGCAATATTTTCTCCCAGTCAGTGGCTTGTATGCAATGTGTTGTTTTTCTCAAGTTTGCTAATATTTCTGCCTTCAAAATTTTCTCTTTATTGTTGGTTTTCAGTAGTTTGACTATGATTTTCCCAGGTGTAGTTTTCTTTGGATTTATCTTAATTGGGGTTTACAGAGAGCTTCAAAGTCAATGTTTCTTCATAAAACTTGTAAAACATTTGGCCATTATTTCTTCAAATATATCTTTCTGCCCTATTTTCATTCTTTTATTCTTTTAGATCTCCAATTGCATGTGTGTTAATGCATTTGATATCGTTCCATAGGACCCTGAGGCTCTGTTCTTCTTTCTTCAAACTTTTTTTTCTTCAGATTGGGTAATTTGATGTTTTCAAATTCATTGACACTTTCTTCTGACATCTCCGATAGACTGTTAACTCTATCTAGTAGATTTTTCATTTCACTTATTTTACTTTTCTGTTGTAACAATTCCATTTGACTTTCTTTATACTTTCCATTTCTCTCCTGAGATTCCACGTTTTCACTCATCAAGATGAAATTTCCTTTAAATCCTTGAACATGCACATAATAGCTGTTTGAAAGTTTTTACAAAACTCAACATCTAGGCTGTGTCGAGGCTTTTCTTGACTGCTTTTTTTGTCTTTACCATGTGACTCATTTTCCTTTTTCTTTCCATATGTAGTAATTTTTGATTGTATATCATACATTATACAAGAAAGACATGTTGTAAAGAATCCTTACTTATTCTATCTTCCTCTGAAGGGTGTTGATTTTTGTTCCAGTAGGCATTTTTATTACTGACTGATGCCTTTCAACTTACATAGGCTTGGTTTTATAATGTGTTAGTATGAATCTGTGGAAAGCCCAAGGTATTTTTCAAGCCCTTCTAATTTGGAAAACTGTCTCCCTCACAGATCTTGTTGAGGCTTGACTTCAGTCTATATTCTGGGATGTGGACACATGAGAGTTGAAACAAGAGGCAGTGTCACCTTGTTCAACTTTAACTGGGAACATGCATTTTTGGTGACTCAAATTTTTTGCCATTCTGCGCATGTCTGAGAATGACTAAAAAAGTGCCCAGAGTTCTGATTTTGTGATTATAAATTTTAGCAAGCAAGCAAACTTGCAAATATGGAATCTGTGAACAATGAGGGTCAACTGTGTACATATTTTCAGCATAATGAAACCAGGTAGCATAATAAAAACATTTTAGTGCTTAAAGAGGTTAAGTTTTAAATTAACTATTTTGATGGAAACTTTCCCTAAACATGGTATAAGTGTCTCTTAAATTAGACACCAAAGATAACTTTTCCTCCTGACTCAGTGTTATTATAAACAATAGTAAGCAATGCTAAAACCCAATGAAACCTTTAAGGTTTTAGATATATAAATGAATACTCTTAGATTAAAAATCCCCAGTTGGCAACAATTCTTAAGGCCTCTGCTTTGTTTTTTGCCTCTTATTGGTGTTTCTGTAAACCAAAGTTCAATATACCTTAGCTGTAAGATCTTGACAAAGTAAACTTTGTGGGTCTCAGTTTTCTCATTTACAAAATGAAGAAAATGCACTTCTAAGGTCCCTCCAGGTCTAAAATTCTATCTTTTCTAGCTACCAGTGTTTTCCGGCTTCTAGATGCTATCTTTTCTAACTTTCTGTTTTTGATCTTGTGTGTCTTGGAAAAATCAAAAAGCCAACTTTTCAATTATTAAGAATTAAAAGACATTCTAATTAAAGACTTGAGATCTTTTCTAAATTATGTGCATATAAATTTTGGCAACTAGGAGACCTGTACATACTTATTCCCTGGATCTTAGCTTTAATCCAAACAGATATGTAAAAATTAATTGTATTTCCTAACAGGTACTGTAAAAATAATTCATAAGTCACTGTTAAATGTAAGTAAACCAAGTATCTGACCTATGACATCTATGTGTTTAAAAAAAAAAAAAATAGGGCTGGCCCGGTGGCCAAGTGGTTAGGTTCGTGAGCTCCGCTTCAGCAGCCCAGGGTTTTGCTGGTTCGGATCCTGGGAGCAGACTTGGTGCCACTCATCAGGCCATCCTGAGGCGGCGTCCCACATGCCAGAAGTAGGACCCACAACTAAAAGTATACAACTATGTACCAGGGCGCTTTGGGGAGAAAAAGGAAAAATAAAATCTTTAAAAAATCTTTCCTAGGATCCTCAGTGATCCCATGCCTGGGATAACAGGAAAATACATACGGTTTGAAAAGAAGCTATTATTAAAAAGCCTTAGAAAAGTAGACGAGTAAATTTATTGCTGACATATTCTTTATTGAATTAAAATTATACTATGTATAAAATAGCAATGTATATACAGAGGGATTTAATGCATCATATACAATTATCTTTAAAAAGTCAAGACGTAAGTTACAATGATTATGACTATAAAATTTATATTAAAACATTCTCCATAAGTGACTTATTTGGCTATTTTAGTCCGAAGTCGTCGTTTGAGAATCTGATGATCACTTTCTTTCACTTTATCATCCATCAAAACCTGAAATTAACAATTTCAATATTTTTAATGAATGAAAATAAAAATGAAAGCTTAATTATAATTAATAAAATTATATTTCATGTGCTTAGTAACTGAAATAATAGGTACATTATATTTTTTGTCCTCTTGGACTGTAGATATAATATCTTTTATAAAAAAGCATGCCTAAAACAATAGATTTTGTAAAAGATTCTTTCAACATATCTAATTCTAGAATTAAAATAATCTACACTCTTTATTGAATTCAGGATATATATAGTTTGAAATAATTACTGAAATATTTGCAGACAAGTGCCTCAAATAACTTTAAGAAATGATCATTCGCACCAACAAGTATATATACCACTCAGAAAGCAGAAAGAGTATTATGTTTCAGAAGAGCAACAAATTTTTTTTTTGGTACAAGTACATCCTTATATTAAAGAAGTATTTGTTGTTTATCTGAGACTTGAATTTAACCAGGCATATTTATATATGTTTATATTTAAATATATTTATATGTTTATATTTAACCTGTATTTTCTCTGGCAACCCTCCCCACAATTGAACACTTAAATTCAATATTGTACAAGATTGGGGAATAGAATCATAGAATCACTGATACGTGTCAAAATTGAAAAAATTCCACAAATACTTGTTTGGAAGTGATGAAATGTATTTAGGAAGTCTGGACAACGAAATTATAATAAACATTTATTAAGCTGTTAAAAAAAAAAAAAAAAGAGTATTATTTTGCAACTAAGAAAAGAAATAATTTCAGCCAAGGGAGGAAATGATGTACTAACCAGACAGATGGTGAAAAGTGACCAAGAGAACAGTACTTCCAACAGCATGTCCTAATTGACCCTAATTCTTTACCACTTGCCTTCAACTGTCTATCTTATATCTGATAGCTACTGTTGCAAAAGGTCTTTGATTTTTCTTGGCCACTTCCTGCTGAAGGCTTTTCCTTTAATTACTTTTCTATCTTCACTTTCACCCACCAGGCAAATGCAAGCATGACAGAAAATTAGAACTTTCCCTGTAATAGCACAGTCTGTTCTGAGTGAGGAGAATGAGTCATAGAGTCAGTATGACAAACTACAGTCTTTTCTTAATAGAACCTGGAAGGCTTAGAGGGAAGGTGGGAGGAAATGACTGAATGTCAATTCCATATTTTTATCAGGCATACTTATGTCCAGATTTGTACAACTCTTGTGATAAAGACAACGAGAAAAATAGATGTTAGAAGCAAATAAATTACTAAATAGTAATAAATCTATTCTCAGAACTAAAATTCCTCTGATGAGTTTACAAATGTAAATGCATATGACACTCATTACATTAATGCAGCATATATAATTACTTTAAATTTAACACATCTGATACCAAAAGTATAACACTTTAAAGCATGCTTTAAGAGACTTGACCTAAAGAATAAAAATTCAAACCATTCTAAAATATTGTTATGAATATTTCAGAATTAAAAAGAACATGAACAGTTTTACTTTTAAGAAAACTGAAATAGTAGCTTACCACTTGGCCAGATATATCAATAGGAGATGAAATTTCATTTGTGTATAATTTCCGTTTAGCCCGTTTTGGTCGAGACACATTTTCTTTACTTACTTCTACATTTGAGAGCTTTGAAGAACTCATCGTTTCAATTATCTTCTTTGCTATGAAAAAAATACATTAGTTAAATCTGAAATAGATAATTTTCTAACTGCAAAGGTTTGACATCCTTAATGAAAAAAGAACATACCAAATTAAAAAGTAAAGCACTGCAACTTATAAATGGTGAAAATACATTAATAAATTCACAAAGAAAAAAATTAAATGTCTAATAAACACTGAAAAAATGATCAACAGCAAAAACAAAAAACCAAATAAATAAAGTATCATTTGACTAATGTTCAACATAGTGAAAAGGTTTGGTAAATTACAATACAACCAGTAAAACTCAAGCGTCTTTAATGACTTGGACGAGGTTTATGCTATTTTAAGAAAAAGAGCAGGATACATTTTAGTGGACCACACAACATTAAAAATAATAAGATGGTAGGTCTAGTTCAATACCTATATATCAAGATGTCTACAATGAATGTTAAGTGAAAGTAGTTTGCAATTATGAGCCCTTTACTTATAATTCACACACACACACGTATAGAAGACAACCAAATTGTTACAGTTGATTGCCTCCGGGAAGCAGAACAGCAATTTTTTAATTTCTGACTTTGCACATTTGTTTTATTTTTTTAACAGATACACATTGAGTTTAATAAAAAACATATTTCCATTTGAGAAAACTCCTGGATAGAAAATATATATACATAAAATATCAACTATATGTTTTAAAAAATAGAAAAAACATTTAAGGAAATATGTTAGATTGAGGGTGTACTTGTCAAGGGCTGAAATGAGCTTGAGAAAGCTGAGCTGCCATATGTCAAAGTAGCTAATTACAACAAGCCAATAGGTCACACTCAAGCCTTTAACCACTTACTGAAATAGAATAAACAAGAAGCTAAACCTGAGAAAGTGCCACCTCCCACCCTCTTCCAGATTCCTCCATGGAATGGTGCATGGTCAGGTCAGGAGGATCAGCAAAGAAGAGGGGTCAACTCATTGCCAAGGGAGCCCTGAACAAAAGGCTCTTGCACTTGTAGTTTTATGGACCTTAGGGCTGGAGGCCAGGAGGAAGGGCTAGGAGGGGAAAAGTAGAGTCACAGTGGAGAAAACTGTCCTCCAGGTTCCCTCCCCTTCCCTGTTCTAAGAAGGTCTCCGGCAGAAGCACCTGAGGAAGTTCTCTGCTGAAGGTCCCCAAGAAAGAGGATCCAAATGAAGGCACCTGGGCTAGGAACGCAGACATGTTTAAGAGCACCGCTGGCAGGGCCCCTGAGTCTTGACTGTAACTCCCTTCAGGGACTGCAGTGCACTGGCTGTGTACTAAGTTTGGTGTGCAGAGGGCAGCTGTCCCCTCTGAGGCCTAACAGGTAAAGCCTTTGTAATTGCTTAAGGTCCACCTGAAAAATACCACATAGGATTTTGGCCTGGAGCCTCCAAACGCCTCACCACTACCTGCCAGCCACTATACTAAAGCTGAAGATGGGAACTAGACTGACATTTTTTACTTGCAGAGTTTACATTCCAGTGGAAAAGATAATAAGAAAACAAAAACTTATAGCTTAAATAATTCAACTTGCACTTTGAAAAGATTGTTCTGGCTGCCATGTACTGAATGGACAGGAGGCAGACAAGAGGGAAAAGTTGGGAGAACCAATGATACTGAGTAATGGATTAATGGTGGTTATCAGAGCAGAATAATTTGAAGAATTAATCTCTATTTTCTTCTCTTTTCCCTATTATTTCAAAGTGATCAACAACAGACATGTATTATAGTTACAATCCAAAATAGGAATATCTTATATTCCTAAAAAGAAGTTTTAAAAAATCCATGAAGGGTATAGAGGTAGGGAAGCTGTCAGGGAGCTGAGTCAACCAAGCAACGGAGTCATTACCATATGCATACCTCCCTCCCCTTGAAAACATATTTCCTTTCAATATATAAGTGATGGTCAATTTAAACAAAATACATAAGAATCTAAAATAACAAGTACTGCCTCTCCAAATTTAGACATTTAAGAGTCTGCTGTTTGTCCCTCCAGATATTTCCTATGCTTATACAAACTATACCTTTAAAAAAAAGTACACATTTTCTGAAAAATTTACACAAATGGGTCTGATAAGTCTGAAGTTCACAAATCGTGCATAAGACATGCCACAGCAAACTCACAGAAGCACCTCAGAATATTTTAAATGTTCAAGGAAAACAGTGACACGCAATAGCTCAAGGTAGTTCACAATTTCAAAATGACAGCACACTGCATTCTTTTTGATGATGACACATCTTTGCAACCTGAATTTTCAGTAGTTGTTCGGCCTTAAGTACTAATGGATATATATTAGGTGTTTGTTTGGGTGCAGGGACACAATAAAAAAAATTTACTGAGACATTAAGGGCACTGTGAACCAAGAAAGTTTGAGAACCTCTGTGGTAAGTTTTTACAGAAATTATTTTTACACAATCTATTTGATTCAATTAAACTGTCCCCTGCTTTTAGTCTCTTTCCCTCCTCATTCTCCCTGCCTCCAATGTCCAATTTATCCTATTTAACCTACTGCTACCACTCAGGTAATCTCACGAAAACCCACTCCTCCATCTGCCCCCTGACACCCAGTAATTTCTCCACATTCTACATGCCAGATGCTTATTGCCACCTGCAATTGCCTGCACATTCCCTACACTTTCCTGATACTCTACCTGTGTTAAAACTGTTCCCTCTGGTAGATGTGCATGTGTGTGTGTGCGTGTGTGTATACATACGCATGCATGTTTACATATATGTGTATACAGAGTATACATCTTAGCATATATTAATATATAGGTATTAATATGTCTACATTGTATTATAAAGAAAAAAGGATTAAGCAACTGAACTCAATAGATATTTATAGAAATATATGTTTTTGATATATATGAATAGGTAATGTTTATCTATGCATAGAAAAAACAGTAGAAGAATATACACCATAATACTAACAGTGATGATCTCCAGAGGGTGTAATCCTGCCAACATTTCAATACCCAGGTTAAATCCCATCTGTTCTATAAAATCTTCTCATAGCCTCCCAATCAGAACAGCTCTCTTCCCTCCCATACTACCATAGCACTTTGCTTGTATCTCTATAACCACATTAAGCAGCCTGTTCTGGATCAATTCCTTAAACATAGGTCTTTCTCTTCAACTACACGGTGAACACTGGGCATATCATCCTTTCATATTTCCTCCCACAGTACCTAACATAGGACAATGTCTGTTTGAAATATAATAATCACTGTTGTTGAGTTTACACATCAATCAGATATTAGAAAACACCCTATACCTAACATAAAAGGTCATTTAATTAATTTTCTGCAAACCTTTTGATTGAAGAATTGTTGGAGAATGTTGTAAGAAGTCTCCAAATTTCTGTAGCGTTCCTTCTTTTTTCTTAGTGGCTGAGTTTGTATTAAGTGTGGATGCCTGACTCCGTAAAGAATATGTTTTCTTTGATGATGGACGTGTGGAAACCTAATAAACAAACATTTTGTTGTTGTTGTTAATGAGAAATGCTAGAAGGAAATATTTATAGCCACAGTTAAGGCCAGACACAGGTTATGAATTCTCAGGCAGGGAACCAGGGATTAAGAATATGAGGAGAGGAATGAAAGAGAATAGCAAAATAAGTGTGACAGGCAGAGAGCCAAGTCAGAAGTGAACACATCAAGAAGTGCCTGCTACTGGCCAAATGCTAAAGGTTATATTCTAAGCTGAATAAGAATAGGAAACGGAAGATAAATGAGTTACAATTAGACAAAACTGGATTTCTAGATAATTACCAGTCAAATTTGATATCTTTATTTTCATCTTCTACTTTATAAGTTATGAAAATGGTCAATTTTGGACAAATTAAAAGACAAACCTTTTGTTCCTTTTTGACAGAAGAATCGCTATGCTCAGAAATAAGGGATTTCAAATTAGTTCTGGGTGTAGCATTCTTCTTATTTTCATATTTCACAAAGTCCTAAAAATAATGAATTTCAGCCACTGGTTAATTTCTTGACAATATTTTCTTTCTCTAACTCAAAAAAACAAAAAACAAGAAAAACAACGTAACGGTTTGACCCCAGGGAACACTGGCAATATTGGGATATTTTTGGTTGTCATTGCTGGGAGAAAGGGGGTTTTATTGGCAACTAGTGGGTAGAGCCAGGAATGCCACTAAACACCCCTTCAAAGCCCAGGAGAGCCTTCCAAAACAAAGAGGTATTTGGATCAAACTGTGCTGAAGTTGAGAAATCCTGAGTGAAGGTATGAATTTTTTTTCCAATTTCATTGAGATATTATTGACATATAAGTTTAAGGCATACAATGTGATAATTTAATATACATATATAGTGCAAAATGATTAAGGTATGAATTTTTCACACATATCATAAATAAAATTATATGAGCTAGATGAAAAACAGCAGAAGGGATAACATGTTTTATGTGAACCCCATCTTTAAAATACAGCACAGCGGGGGGCTGGCCCCGTGGCTGAGTGGTTAAGTTCGTGCGCTCTGCTGCAGGCGGCCCAGTGTTTCGTTGGTTCGAATCCTGGGCACGGACATGGCACTGCTCATCAAGCCACGTTGAGGCAGCGTCCCACATGCCACAACTAGAAGGACCCACAACGAAGAATATACAACTATGTACCAGGGGGCTTTGGGGAGAAAAAGGAAAAAAATAAAATCTCAAAAAAAAATAAATAAATAAAGCACAGCGGGCCAGCCTGGTGGTATAGTGGTTAAGTTTGCATGCTCCACATCAGTGGCCTGGGGTTTGAAGGTTCAGATCCCAGGTGCAGACCTATGTGCCGCTTATCAAGCCATGCTGTGGCAGGCATCCCACATATAAAACAGAGGAAGACGGCCACAGATGTTAGGGCAGGGCTAATCTTCCTCACCAAAAGAAAAAAAAAATACAGCACAGCAATATACCTACCCTCTCCCCAATTCCCAAATCATGCAGAGCATCTATGTCTAAGACCTCTAATTGAAATTTGGCAACATCAAAAACAAAAACAACAAAAATCTTCAGTATAAACACAGGTAAAATGTGAAAATTAAGAAATATAATCTGTCTTCCCTACTACATCGTCACGACATCTTACTCTTCTTTTCCCCACATAATCTCACTTAAGACAAAGACTTTCATAGTATGTGAACTGAATTGAACTGGTGCAACTCCTAGCTATACCAAAGATAAAAGCATAAAAAGGAGGGGGGTGGGGGAGGCAAGAAGAGAAATAGAAGAAAAATCATGACTGCCCCTCAGAATTCAAGTTACAAAGTAAAAGCAATACGAGTCATAAGAAGCAGACTTCCTGAAAAGTGAAAAGCTGATGGGAATCATACGAAGACATGCACAAAGATTTTAATTCCATCACACTTGTGGAGTTCTACACAGAGCCCTCTGGAGTCTTCACTGGATGAGAATATAGCACTGTAAAAAGGATTTTCATGAGGCCCTTACAACTCAGTTTATTACAGCAGTGAACAGCTAGCAAAATCAGTTAAAATTTTTAAGCTTCTACATGCTTTATCTACAATAATCTGTATATTTATTCTGAAATATACATAGGGAGTATATGCCAATAGTAAAATGAATAAAATAATTATATTTTAATCCTCTGAGTACAAGACCGATTTTTCCTTCCTTGAAAAAAATGAATGAAGGAAAAGTCAACTTAGCACAGAGGATGATGAAATTAAAATATTTAGTATTTTAATGGTATCTAAAATGTATTAAATAAAAATTAAATAAATATAGGATAAAAGTTAACTAAGGCTCTACAAAACAATCTCTAAAAGTGTTCTATGTGTAGTGGGAAATACACTAAATAATATTCATTCAGCAAACGTATTACCTGACAGAGAGCCTCAGGAGTATGGTTAATACTATTTCTGCTCTTCCACCAGCTTGAAAATATACTACTCTTTAAAGGAGTAAAAAATAAAAAAGTTGAATAAAAAGTTATTGTGCTAAGAGTTTATAGTTTTAAACCTAAAACAAGTTACTTTCAAAATAAATATTACCATTTATTATGTACCTACCACATTTGGAGCAAAAGCTAAGCATTTTAAACATATTATCTCTAATCCTTTATTTGCAAAAGGAAGAAACTTGAGGATCAGAAAGTTTATGTGATTTGCCTAATGTGCATGGCTAGGATACGGAGAAGCTTTGGTAACCCTACAGTCAGAAAGCTGTAGTAAGACAAGTAAACAGTTTTTAGCCTACCAATAAACAGAGGCCCAAATTTTAATACTGGCTGATAGAAAAAGAATTTCTCTTCCAAAACCTGCTATGATCATAGAAACCTAAGATTTCAGATAAGTGACAAAGAATATACTTAAGCAAGTTAGCCATTTCAGTTTCTCTAATTTCTTAACTATTTTTCTCTTCCATTGGAGGGAAAGTGACTAAGTTTGAACAGGACTCATATATTGAAACAGCTTTCCAATAAAATCTACCATCATATGACCCATCACAACTTCACTGAAGCAAGGGATAAGCTATGTATTTTAATATCCATAAGCTTTTTGTTTGAGGACTTTAAACCACAAACTACAGTGACATTCTTAAAGAGTACAAAATATGCCATATATTATGATTTTAGTCTCTAACAACAGTGCTCATGAAGAAGAAAGCAGTGTAACAGAGTTTATATATTACAACTGAGCTTAATAACAATAAGGTTTGCTTGTTAAATTCACTCATGAGTTAAGTTTTTACCTCCTCCATTTCATTACTCTTCCTCTTCCGGGTCTTGGAAATCTTAACCATCATTGGTGAGGTACAACCAGGGTGTTTCACTGACATTTTGTTTGGGTGTAAGGGTGTAAACTGAATCTCTAACTCAGGTTTTGGAAATCGAGTAGTTTGATTATTTTCTGTTGACACTTCACAAGAGTCAAGGACTACAGATCCATCCTACAACAGAATCAAAAACGGAAACAAATCTTATTTGCACAATATGAATTTATACAATGCAAAGAATTAACTCTCTCAAATACCTATTAAAGACAATGAATTGGAAAAGACAAAAAGTGTGCGGGTCAAATTTGCCACAGCAAAGACAGAAAGATTTAGTTATCATCTACCCTCTCCAGGTTTATACATGGATGTTAAAACTGGGGGAAACTTAGAGATCAGTATTTCCCAAACTCATATGATTGTTAAGAATTATCTAGAGAACTTGTTTAAAAGATTCTTGGACCCTACCACAAACCTGCTAAATCAAAAATCTCCAAGGAAAGAGTCTAGGATTTTTAACAAGAATCCTAGTTATGAAAGATTAACGTTTGCTGCAAATTCTTTGCTACTCTTCCCATTGAGAGATGGAGTCTCATTCCCCTCTCCTTGAATCTGGGCTGGCCTTAATGACTTCCACAACCAATAGGATGTGAAAGAAGTAACTTCATGATTCTTCTGAGGCTTCATCATAAGAAGCCTTGTAACTTCTGCCCTGGAACACTCTTGGAACACTAACCCTCAGGACATTCCCCCTCAAAATGCCCCAGCTCAGAATCCAGCCACTGTGCTATGAGAAGCCCTAGCCAGAGGGAGGCCACATACATGTACAGCTGAGCTCCCAGAATCAACTATTGGCTCTGTGAATGAATCATTTTGGACTTTCAGCCCAGACAAGCATATTAATTTCATGAAGGCAATAAAAATATATAAAACAGCATTAACAATATGGTTCTTCAAAACTGTGGAATATTCAATAACTGCTGGAATTCTTAATAGGACACTGGAATCAGGAGGTTTTAGGACAGCAGACATAAATTTACAGAGAAAGAAATGTTCCATTATATGTGACTACCTATGTAATCAAAAATTAATCTTGTTTATGTATCAACTTAAAACTTTTCTACAAAAAATATGATTTGTATTAGTCTCTAAAGTCAATGATAATAATTTGAAACTCAACCAAAAACTATCAAAGAAAGGCCAAGGGAAAAGGAATGGCTCATGTTATTTCCCCAGATTAAAATGTCCTTCCCTTGCCGTTCTCTGCTTGGTAAACTTCTATTCATCTTCAAGACCCAGTATGATGTTACCTTCTTTAATCCATCTCTACAACCACTCAGGCAAATTTCATCATATCCTCCTCTGTCAGTGTTCCTTCTTAGCGCTCTTCAATAGCACTTAGTCCATAAGGTAGGATCAAACAGGGTAGTCAGTTATTTAACTGTCTTACTAGATTCCTCACTCCTTGAGGCTGGCAACCAGGTCTTAGTTATGTTTCTATCCTCAGTGCTTAGGCAAAGCTTCCCAATACTGAATGCTCCCAATAAATGGGTTTTAAATATACATTAAAAAAATAATTTTATCTTCAAAACTTTAAATGACATAGAATATTTATCTATCTCATATGCAATGTGAGAATCTCTATATTATCCAAGGTGATTCAAAGAACCCTAGACCCACTGCATATTAAGGAAACTCACTGTGAGTTATCGAGATTTGGTGACAGAACTATTAAATGGGTAAAATTTCAAAAAATACTATTTAATAAAATTCTTATAAGAATGAGGGTAAACAATCATCCTTATTTTCTCTCTTGTGGGATTTCCTATATCTGACCACCAAGTTTGTTTATAGTAATAGATCTGTTGTTTGAGATCAATATCATTTTGAGAAGAGATTAATATCCTTTGGGGATTTAATCTCCCAAAAGAATTTCACCTCTCCTCAAAAACCTTTACTTTTCCTTTCCACAGCTGAGAGTACATAGAGCTAATTGTACAGCAAGCTACCCAAAACAATTGATTAAATTACACTTGCAATTATTATTTGGTAATTGATGGTCACTGATAAAGAGGGTAAAAGAAGTGGACTACATTACCAAATACCCACCTCTACTTCATTCTTGGAAATTTCAAAACTTGTTGATTGAGGTTCAATTTCAACTCTGCCAGGATCCGTTGAACATGGCTTAATATCCATGGTTTGTTTTTCCTAAAGTAAGGAAATGTTAAAACAACAAATCATTGGTCCTGAAAATATATTAAAACATTTCACATAAAGAATATAAAAATCAAGATTTCGGTGGACTAAATAGTGGAAATGATTAAAGGCTTCTTCAATGACCAGGTAACTCTCCTTCCTCCTCTCTTTCATCCTAAGAGACTCAGGAAAAGCTGGGCAACTTTCTAGCTTCTTCTGAGTCTGATCAAAAAGAAATGTGAAAGATTACTTTCAACTACCACAGTATTTTACATATATTCCCTCATTTTACTTTCATTGCAACTCTCTGAGATAGATTTGGCAAGAATCATTATTCCTACTTCTCAGATGAGGTAAGAGACCTAGAGATGTCAAATGACATAGCAAAGGTCTGTACTGAGTTGCAATCTGAACCCCAACAATTGCTTTTGATAACAGAGTTCTGAAAAGCTAGAGGCTTCTTGGGAATGTGACTATACCATTAGAGTAGAAAATAACACATTGACAACTAAACCTTTCCTTGCAGCACACTCTTCATCCCACTTTCTAGGTCATAGGGTATGTTCTATTCCTAAACTCTACTTAAGGTGTCTATGAAGAAATATCACATTACATTTTTAAATTTGATAAATTCCAAGGTGGGCCTTCTCACCATTACCAGCAAAATCAAAAGTTAAATATGTCACCTACCAATTATTGCCAAATAAGAAAGATTCTATTGAATTTGTAATGGAGAAAGCAACTAGCATGTAGTGACTTCCACTATGGTTAAGAACTATGCTAACTGTTCTACAAATACTCTCAATTGATTTTCACAACTCTACTAGGAAGACATTATTATCTGTTTTAGATAGTTCAGAAATGCTAAGTAATTTTCCCAAAGGTCCCAAAACCACAGTGACAGCAGCTGATACCTAGTTTTTCTAACTTTTCAGTCTGTGCTATTTACACCACATGATAATACCTGATTTTTGAGCAGTCTTTCTCTTAGAATCATGAAGTCTTTTGATGTAAGAGACAGACACACACACATTTCTTTTCCTATTGTCTGAAGGCTCGAGAGCAGCAGATTTTTCAGCACAGATCATTTATTCTGGGAAGACTAGCTTCAGATGAACTCTGATTCATTTAACTGGGAAGTAGCTATCTGTGAAATGCAATCCTCTCTTCATCCATGGTTCCCAGATCCAAGGTAACATTACAAAAATAACTCCTGAATGACTCACGTCTCCTTATTATTATGCTTATTTTCAAAGAACAATTTGTATCTTAATACAATAAACTTAGTGTGCCTCAAGTATTTAAATATTACCAAAAGTTCAAGTTGAATCACATTTCTACATTTTAAAGGTAGATTAGACACTAAGTCACAAATTTTCTAATATTCTACCAGGGAGATATGACTACAATACTGGAGAAAGCGCTATTTCTCAGGCATTGACAAATCAATCATAATAATAACTCTGAAAACTCAGAATTCACATGAAATATCCAAATAATATTTACAACTCTGATTCCTCTCTGGTGTACTGAAACTTACTTTACCCTTTCAGAATTAAGCTGTTAAATAATTTTGAAAAATTCCTATGTTCAATTAAAAAAAAAGGCATTGTACAAGAACAAGATTTTACTCACAGTTTTCGAAGCCTCTGATGTGATCTTTTTCAATTGGTCAATTTCATTATCTTTCTGTACATTACTAGAAATCAGTGCTTTCAGCTGTATTTCTAATGCTGCAACCAGTTGATCTCGCTCTTCTCGCCACTTTTGAAGGTTACTATCTTTCTCTGACAGCTGTGCTGTAAGTATATCCTAATCAGAAAATAAAGAAAATTTTAAAGTAAACCTTGAAACATTATGAATCTAAGACTTTTTTGAAATTTTTATTATAAATAACACCTAAATACAACTGTGAACAAGATGTATAACAAATTACGTAGTTAAGTCTAGATAAAATATTTGCTTATAAAACATAATATATAATGCCTTTATATACATTAATGTCCACATGATATATTTATCCCTAATCCACTTCATTCCAAAAATTAGCTTATTGGTCACTTCTTTCAATAAACAATTACAGTTTTTAACCTAATACCAGCATTTTCCTCATATTTGGGAAATGAGAAGGTAAAACCACAGTAAAACAAATGACAAAACTAACAGCAACAAACAACAGAGAAATAAAAATTAAAAATACTATTTTCAATGAGTTCAAAAATCATTAAGTACTTACTGGCAAATTAAAGAAAATTTGTGTAAGACCTAAACATGAAAAACTACAAAACATTCCTTAAATAAATGTAGAGATAATCTGTGTTCAAGGTCAAAAGACTCAGTATCGTTAAGATGTCAGCTCTGCCCAAATAGATCCATAGAGTCAAGGGAATTTCAAGCAAAATCCAGGCAGCGACATGTGTGTGTGTGCGCGTGTGTGTGTAAAATGGAAAAGTTGACTCTAAAAGTTATATCGAAATGCAAATGATCTAGAATAGCCGAAATTATTTTGAAAATGAAGAAAGCAGGAGCAATCACACTATGTCACTTCAAACCTAATAGAATAATCAAGACAGTGTGATATTGATGTTAAAGAATTCCAGAGATCAGTGGACAGAAGACAGGGTCCACAAACATATGGTCAACTGACATTCTACAAAAATGCCAAAGAAATTCATTGGAGGAAAGGACAGTATTTCAACAAATAGTGCTAGAAAAATTGAATAGCCAAATGAAAAAAAAGAAATGAACTGCAACCCTAATCTCATATGATACATAAAAATTAACCCTTGGACAATTGATTTATGACAAAAGTAGCAGAACAGTTTTTGGAAAAGAAACAGATTTTTCAATAAATATTACCAAGGACGTCAGAGTCATGGCAGAGTGAGCTTGCCCAGGACTCTCTCCCCTCCAACATACAACAAAAGAAGAGCAACCATATTCCAACAAAAAAATATCCTAATAGCAGAGAAATCCTTGGAGACCCACAGAAGCCAAACAACGGAGGGTGAAGAGGCTGGAGACCCCCTCGGAGGAGCTGGAACAGGGTAAGAGAGATCTTCGCTCCCTCCCCTAGAGACTGGGATCTCCACGGGAGGCTCTGTGAGGGAAGGGGAGCGGGGGAGGGGCCGCGAGCCTGGGGGATCACCCAGGACTCCCACAGCCGTGCAGCCCAGATGAAAGCCCTCTAATAGGGGAAAGCTTTCGCCTGGGGTGACCTCAGCAAGCCAAGACCCCAGGAGAGCAGACAGCAAGAGCTGATCAGGAAAGCACTAGAGATGGTGCCCCTCCCTCCCCCAACCCGTCCTGTGCGCCACCATCTGGGCTGAAGGCAGAGGGCTCAGAATACGTGGCTCTCAACCCCCATCTAGTGGTGACAGGCTGTAACTGCAACCGAATAATATCACCATGGGGAAGACCCGTCCTTCTTCCACCACCCATCAATTCATCCAATCTCCAGACCAGCGGGAAAACAAGCACCCAGAATTATGCCCTGAGGACTCAGAAATAAGTAAACTAAATAAAAATGAATTCAGAATAGCCACAGTCAAAAAATTCGAGGTAAAGGAAAACAGAGAGAAAAAAGTCAATGAGTTCTGGAGTTACTTCACAAAAGAAATTGAAACTATAAAGAAGAATCAATCAGAAATACTAGAGATGAAAAATACAGTGGATCAGATAAAACAGAATACGGATTCCCTGAGTGCCTGTGTGGATGCCACAGAGATGCAAATCAGCATAATCGAAGACAGACAGGTTGAATGGCTCCAGACAAAGGAAAGGAGAGAATTAAGAATAAAAAGGAATGAAGAGAATCTCCAAGAAATAGCCAACTCAATGAGGAAATGCAATATAAGAATAATTGGAATCCCCGAGAGTGACGAAAAGGGGAATGGAGCAGAAAGTGTGCTCAAAGGAATAATAGCAGAGAACTTTCCAAATCTAGAGACTGAGAGAGAAATACGTGTGGAGGAAGTTTTCAGATCTCCTAGATATGTCAATGTAAAAAGACCTACTGCAAGGCATATAGTAGTAAAACTGGCAAAACTGAATGACAAAGAAAGAATACTCAGGGCAGCAAGGCAGAAGAAAATAACCTATAAAGGAAGCCCTATCAGACTTTCAACAGATTTCTCTGCAGAAACCTTACAAGCTAGGAGAGATTGGAATGACATATTCAAAACTTTAAAAGATAATCTTCAGCCAAGAATACTCTATCCAGCAAAAATATCCTTCAGATATGAGGGAGAAATTAAATCTTTCCCAGACAAACAAAATCTAAGGGACTTTGCAGCCACGAGACACCGCCGCCCCCCCCCCCCCCCCGCCCTTACAAGAAATCCTCAAGAAGGTCCTCATATCTGAAAAAAGAAAAAAAGGGGAAATGGGTCACAAAACACAGAGTAAGGAGACAAATAGAATCAGAATAGGATAGCAAATATACAACTATAGCATTAGGAGAAAGGGAAGGAAAACACCAAAAACAAAGACAATCTTAGCACTTTAACCACAAACTCACAACACAAGTTGGAATAAGAGATGACAAGAATAACTTACGAGGGAAGGAGGAAAGGGACTGAATCAGTTTAGGCTAAGGAAATAAGAGGCCATCAGAAAACGGACTATGTTATGCACGAGATTCTGAATACAAACTTCAGGGTAGCCACTAACCTTAAAAACAGAACAGAAACACAAAAAATAAGTAAGGAAGTAAGAAACTGCAGATGTCAATGGGTAGGCCAAAACACACAGGACAAGAAACACAGGTAATGCAGGAAAACCGTAAAACAAGTGACAGAATGACAGCATTAAGTCTCATGCATCAATAATCACCCTTAATGTAAACAGATTGAACTCTCCAAATAAAAAGACACGGAGTGGCAAGATGGATTAAAGAACAAGATCCAACAATCTGCTGCCTCCAGGAAACACACCTCAGCTCCAACGACAAACACAGGCTCAATAAATATTACCAGGTAATCCACATTTTACAAAAAAGAGCCTTGATTCCTATCTCACTCCAACAGAAAAATCAATGCTAGCATCTAAATATGACAGGTAAAACCCCAAACCTTTCAGGAAATAACGTAAGAGAACATCTTCATGTCTTTGGCATTCATAAAGGAAAACACTGAGAAAATAAACTAAAATAAGTTAGAACTTCTATTCATAAAGAGGAAATAAGAAAGTAAAAAAGCAAACTTGAGATTGAAAGAAGGTACTTGCAACACATTATAGACAAAGGGCACCTATCCAGAAAGCATGAGGAATGCCTACTTATCAACAAGAAAAAGCTAGACAGTCCTGGAGAAAATAGGCAAAGAACTTGTATAGGCAGAGCCAATAAATAAATGAAACATCTTCACCTCATTAGTAATCAGGAAAAAGAACATTAAAACCATAAAAAATTACTGACAATACCATCGACTACAATACTAATTGGAGTATAAATGAGTACAACTACTTTGAAAATCAGTCTAGCCTTCTACTAGATTTCCACATACATATACCCTATCGTCTAGTAATTTACTCTTGGCCACACATGCAACAGAAATGCATGCACATGTGCAGTAAGAGAAATGTGTAAAAATATTTACAGGAGAATTTACTCATAACATTCAAAAACAGGAAACAATTCACATATCTTCAACATTAAAATGAATGGACTGTGGTATACTCATACACCGAAATATTCAGCAATGAAAGAACTAACTCCAGCCATGATAATTATCATAAACATAATATTGAGTGAAAGAAGCCAGGCACAAACAAATGCATTCAGTATACTTCCATTTATATAAAATTCAAAAATGGGCAAAACTAAAGTCTAACATTAAAAGACAGAATAGTTAGTACCTTTGGGAAAGAAGCAGAAGAGAGGGCCTCTGGGGCGCTGGTACTATTCTATTTCTTGAACTGGATGGTAGTTAAGTGGCTTTACAATAGTAACTTGGCTTTACAATAATTCACTGAATGATATGTTTATTTTGTTTACTTACTGTGCTGTATGTTAGAATTTTAAAAATCAACAACTCATTTCTTAAATATAGCAGATACACACACCCTACGTATTACATATGACTGTAAAACAATATATGGGAGAAAGGAGGAAGCTAGCTTTCTCTAGGATTAAAAACTCAAAGTAGATTTACTTGTGGCATTGCTGCTAGAGAGACCACTGACTAGGAAAAGAAAGTAGCTCCATTTCTGGTTTGGAATTGGAGTGACCGTGAAGCCAACAGCTTTGATTTCACTTCTTGCCCCTTACTATTGCACAGGAAGGTTTGATGGGCTGTGGAACAGGAAAAGAGAAAGAACAGCAGCCTTTCCTGTTAAGACAGATGGAGCACGAGAATCCTGCTCAACTCAACACTTCCTGAAGGTACCCGAATCACATGAAGTTGGCAAATGAAATGAAACATATTGTCATCTCAGAGCTGTAGCAATCATAAGTATTAGTCTCACAAGATTTGGCATATGACAAAGAGTCAAGAGTCTAAGGAAACAAAACAACTAAATGTAATGTAGCATCCTAGATTTGATTCTGGACCCAGAAAAAGACATTAGTGGGAAAACTGGTGAAATTCTACTAAGGTCCATAATCTAGCTAATGGTACTAGAATCATATTAATTTTTCGGTTTTGATCATTGTAGTACTGTTATGTAAGATGCTAAGATCAGGAAAAGTTGAGTGATAGGTATATAGGAAGCCTCTGTACTAGTTTTGCAACTTTTTTATAAATAAAATGATTTCAAAATAAAAAGATAAAAATATTTTTAAGTATCAGTGGGAAAATCATCCTTAACTTATTGAAAATACAGGAAAGTTTAGCTGTTATCAGTAAAATTCTGTCTTAAACGAAGGAAATGCCAACAGACAACAATGTAATACTCCAAAGTTACTATTATCGTAAATAGAGAACCAGTTTTTCATTTAAAGACAATGTTAATGTGTTGTTCAATGGTTTTCCTAGGATCCATGATGTGTTTTAACTTCCTTTTTCTGACTGGCAACATTGGGTGTCAAACACACTAAGTTGTCATTTAAAACAGGAGGAAAAAAAGCTAAGATAGAATCATTGTAAGAACTACAGCTAGTCAATGTAAAATTGAAAGTTATTTCTACCTGTAGTCTTCGAGAAACTATTTAGTGGACTTAAAAAACAGTCCTGATAAAATTGGTTTATGAGGTAAAATCACACACCATGTCAATCTACAGTTTAAAATGCAAAAAGCTTTACAATGTCGAGATAACCCTGTGACAGTCAAAAGGAAGACATTTTTAAGTTTGGCATCTGGATATTGAGATGTAATTAGGTATTTTCCCAATTTGCTAAACGGACTGAAAAAAATTAAAATAAGAACATAAGTGAACTTCAAGATAAGTTGAGACGGAAAAGTCATCTTACAAATAAACTGCCTTTAAAAAAAAAGGAAAATAGGCAACCATGTAGACTGATAAGGACCCCAAGGATAAATCTAACAAACCAAAGAAAGCAGGTGAAATACATTGAAGATAAAGTATAATTGTTACCAACCACTTCATTTTGTTGCTTTAAACAACGCTCTCTGTCTTCAGCATATTTTTTCATTTCTTTGTTTCGTAGATTCTCAGCTTCTTTTGCCTGAGTAATAAGCATTATTTTTTCTTCTAACCATTTCTTTCTATCAGCTTTATATTTCTGTTCAGATTCCTATATATATAAATAGTACAAGTAATTACCACATTCTTAAGAAGTAGTCAGTCTGTTTTTATAACATTTTTATACAACCCATCACTTTTCATCGTTTTTAAAACCTAAAAATAAGTGGTTTTCCTTAAATAATGACAAGATCAGAGTTTACTTCAGATTATAAAAAGAACATTGTTGATTTGCTTTCCTAAACAGTAGTTCCTTTATAAACTCCGTTTTGCTATGAGGTCCACTCAAGGACTTTCCTTCATCGGTGAGCTCAAGAAGAAATAACGATTTAAATTTCTGAGTTACAGAGACCCAAGTCTTCCTAAAAGCCAGAAAAAAAAGACTTTGCTTGTGGTGGTCATTTCTAATTGTATGGTTCCAAAAATAAAATATTCTTGGGTATTCGGGATGCCAAATAAAGAATATCTTGTGCAACAGGTCAAATATTTATTAGTTTAAGGAACATTGGGAACAGCTGAACAGAGAATATAGCTGATAGTAATTTTCAAAGTGGATTCCATAGAGACTTTGGGTTCAAAGGCAACTAATTTATGCATTCAAAATCCAAGCAAAACTTCATTTAAAACAAAAACAATAACACCACCTTAAAATATATATATATATATCCCACTGTTCCCAAAACCTGTGAAACCACTGTGCTGGATGAACTATGACAGTTCATCCCGGGATCACAAAGTTTATAATCCAAAATATGTGATTATATCATTTTAGAACAAAGTAAAACATACCAGTACGAACTTGACTCATACCTTCATAGGAACATTCCCAATATAGTTAATGTATTTTATTCCTAATTAGCGGAGTATTTACTTTGTTCTAGCTGCTTCTGGGTTTTCATAATGAAAAGGGTAAATTCTAGAATGTATAATTAACAGTTACAAAAGAAAGTAACTAATTTTTTTGTATTCTTCAGTATCTGATTATATACAGCCTGAATTTAAGAAAAACATTTAGATGCAGCCAACTTTTCAAAATCATTATGTTTTCGTCAATCAAAAACTACAGTCACAAATACAACTTTTAATAAAACGTACAAAATTTTAAGTGGTATTTAGCAAATTACCTTAAAAAAATACTTCCCCCATATGTTGTATTCTACACACAGTATGTTACAGCTGAATATGGAAAAATATAAACACAAAACAGAATATCTCTTATATAGGGTGGTTTCAAAAATATTCCAGTATCCAGATATACAACTCTATTCTTTTCCAACTTACTAAAAATTGAAAAGATTATTTACAATAATCAAAATAATTTTCTAATAGTCACCTTCTGGACAGCAGTATTTGATGTAAGAAATTTAAGGAGTAGAAAAATACATACAAAGACGTAAGAAGTGGTGATTTAAGAATTAATATATAACACATAAAACTGAAGACCCAAGCACTATATTTTCATTGGTACTTAGTACTTTGTATCTTGGGAATTTCCTCCCTATGTCAGTTGATTGTACTGAAACGTACAATGTACTGAATGTATTGAAATGTACAATATACAATATACTGAAATATACAATGTACTGAAAAATTATACATATAAACATATTAACATTTCCCAGGTACTATTCCACCCACATCTAAATTAATTATAAAATATTTACTGAATTCTCCTCTCATGATAAATACAAAGAGTAGACACATACATGCATATACAGACATAAAATCATACCTGAAACTCATCTTGAAGCTTACTGAGCTGTTTACTAAGTACATCTGTGTTATCCTCAAGTTCTTTACTTGACCTTTGATTACTTTTGGTTTCCAGATCTTTGCATTTTTCCTTCCATTTTTCCAATTCTGATTTGAAAACATAAAATTATTTTTTAAAGCGCACGCAAAAGTTATACTGTATATTTAGAGATATATATGGCATGGGATACAGACATGAATCAGCAGAGCCCAGAAAAAGAATCTTGACCAAGACAGAACTGAGACTATTCCAAGAGCTGCAATTTTGAGAGTTGTTACCAAATTCTTAGAGAAAAGAAACTACAAGGTCCTCCTAGGAACCCACTGAATAGTGTTCAGAGAATACAGTATAAATGTATGCCAATCTAATTATATAGGAAACATCAAGTAGTTCCCCCCCTCAAAAAATAAAACAAACCTGTGATGGTATTCTGAAGGATGGAATCAGAGTATTTATTGAGATAAACATGTAAGATGATACTAAGCTGAACAGAGGTGAAACTCAGTTGAAAGTTTACTCAATATCTGGGGAACATTGCAAATTATCATACAGATATTAGGAACTGTATTCCTTCTTTACTACATAGCATTTTACTTAGATAAAACAATTTTCATCACATTGGAAAATGGCAAGTGACAGGACATTCCAAAAACACACCAAATACTTTTTCATTATGAATTATTACAAATACTAAACTACTTTCAAAAGGAAAGATATCTAGAAAAATAAAGAAAATTGAACACTATGTCTTGAGATATTTATGCAATCTTATTTCACCTGTGGCTAGTCTTTCAGCTTCCTCTAATTTAGCCTCGAGCACTTGATCTTGTTCTACCTGAGTTTGTTCTTGTTCTTCCAGTGTCATTCTCATGTCTTCAATTATTTTCTCTTTAACATTTAGATCTAAAAATTTGGGGAGAACATTTTAGAAGTTAGTAATATCTACAACCAGATATCCAGTTTTTCTTGAGTTCTTCTAAAATTAAAATACTTTTATTAACTGTAATAGAATAAGAGTTCCATATAGACCGAAACTTTGTCCTGTTCACTACTGTATCCTCAATGCCTAGAACAGTACTGGCACATTTGAAGTATCAAATATCTGATGAACAGAGGGATGACTTTAAGAATGGATAGATGGATAAATACAAGGAAAAGGAATCTTTTCAGATAAAATCAATAATTTTTCACATAAAGAAACTATTAATACTAATAAACACAAATCTTAGGATTTATTAAAAAAGTTATTTGGCAAAACATTTATTTTTAGTGTTAATATTCTCAAACCAAAACTAAAACTTTTACCTCCTGAAAACAAAGAAAGGCTCAATCCCAATCTGACTTATTTTTTTTAAATCTCGAGTAATTATTTTTTCGAGAAAAATTTTCAAAGCCAAATATTTACTTCTGGTGTTTTTAAAACCAGTTCTTCAGGAATGACTGCTACTAGCCTTACCAGAATTGTTTCTGGTCTTTGAAAAATTACTATAATAATGACTTATAAACAATTCTACTTAAATCCTGTCTGCTTTCAAAGATAAAGAGGAAAGATTACTTTGTTGCCTCTGGTGAGGGCCATATAGTAGCAAGGCTCATTTCAGACACCTCTTACCAAAACTATTACTGATGTCAAAGGTGGTAAACTTACAAATGCACAGCTCAACCCCAGGTCACTAAAAATGACATTAAAAATAACACAAATCTCAAAAAAGGCTTCCTCAAAGAGCACATAAAGCAAGCTTTAAAAAAACAAAACAATAAGAAAAAATTACATGAGTAATTTTCAGTATTTCTGTCCACTGATGTAAGCTTCCAGGAGTGCTAACAAAACAGAATTCCAACTAGGATTAAAGGAGTCTTAGTATTATCATCTAAACTCTTTCTTTCAAAACGCATGATTTGCAAACATATTCAGATTATACAATTAATTTAATCATAATTTTTTTCAAAGAATCTCCTTCCTCTTACACTCTATTTTGCTCTATTTCTAGAGGACTAGAAATAAAGAGTTTAAATATATACTTATCAATTAGAAAAGTCCCAAGACACTGATGATACTTTCACTAATGGCTATGCATCTATTATTTGAAAGGCAGGACCAGTAAATGAAAAAAGAGAATTATTTTATCAGTCACTGCCTCAAATAATTTGCATTTTAAAGAATGCAGAATATGCAACAAATAAAAGAATCCAGAAATATGCAACAAATAAAACAGAAAAAAAGCAACATAAAGACAGCTATAAGATAGGTATCTCATTATGGCTATCTAAAGATAGCTATGAGTTATCATAGCTAAATTAAGTGACTGTCAAATGACGCAGCAATCAAGTGCTTAATATTCAGGGGAGAGGATCACTGAGAGCCATAGTGTCCTAGGAAGGCTTCAAGGAGGAAAGGCTTAAGCATACCATTCTAGAACAGGCAGGAAGTAGAAAGAAGGGACATCACACAAGCTAGGGGCAGAAATGACATATAAATGTCATGTAAAAACCCTGGATTAGAAATATTCACTTAGTGACTGTTTAAATTTATTTCAGAATATCAGTATATCAGACATATATAAAACAAGTACAAAAGCTTGAAACCATGTGATACCATGTTTTACTCATCACACGGGCAGTAAGTTTAAAGTTTGTTAATACTTAGTTAGCAAATTGTGGGGAAATAGGCACTCTATACGCTATTACTGTGAATATAAACTAGTATAACCACTTTAGGGAGCAATTTAGCAATATTTATCAAAATTTTAAATACACATCATTTGGGCCAACAATTACATTACTAGGAACTTACCCTACAAATATATTTACATGTGTGCACAAAGACTTTTGTACAAAAATATTCATGGTAATGTCTACAGTAACAAAAAATTATATCTGAAACAACCAAAAATACTTTTTTTCATTAAAAGAGGTCATATTACCAGAGAGTAGATTATAGAATGTGTTGTTAACTTTCTTAGATAAGATGATATTGTGCTTATGTGAGATGTCTTTTCCTTAGAAATTTCATGATAAACTATTTAAGTGCAAACTATCATTAATGCCTGCAAATATCTTTCAAGTTGCTCAGTTTAATGTATAAATATTTATTAAAGAAAGAGACAGAGAAAGAGAGAGAGAGACGCAAATATGGCAAAATAAAAAACAGTGAATCTATTAAGGGGTATTTCAGGTGTTCTTTATATTGCCTTTCTGACTCCGTTGCAAATGTTTATTTTTTAATTTGAATTTTGGAAAAATATGAACTGAAATTGTACCTTAAATTAGTATATAATATTCCCTCTACTGGACTTTGAAATTGTTTCCTTTACCATCAAGCCACATGTTTGGTCAAATGAAGAACTCTGTTCCTTGCAATAGCATTCTCTTCTGGGCATATTAGAGTCAGTTTTATCTCCTCTATCCTAATTAATTCTGCCACATTACTTAAGGTTTTCCTTCAAGAGAATAAAATTCTTTTCTCCAATAATAACAAAAAGAGGCCATATTAAATAAATTGTGATAGATGAGGAACAAGACAAGGATGTCCACTCTCACTACTTCTAGTCAACATTGTTCGGGAAGTTTTAGCCAGCACAATTAGGCAAGAATAAGAAATAAAAGACAAACAGATTGGAAAGAAGTGAAACTATCTCTGTCTGCAGATGGCATGATCTTGTATACACAAAATCCTAAGGAAGGAAAGTAGGAAGGGCGGGGGGAGAGACGGAGGAAGGAAGGGAGGGAAGGAGGGAGGAAGAAAGCCTTATTAGAGTTCATAAACAGGTTCAGCAAGGTTACATGATCAATATAATTAAATCAATTGTATTTCTATACTAGCAATAAACAATCCAAAAATGGTATTAAGGAAATAACTACATTTTCAATAGCATTACAAAGAATGCTTAGAAATAAATTAACAAAAGATGTGCAAAACTTATGCACTAAAAACATCACTGAAAAGAATTATAGAAGGCCTAACTAAATAAAAAGATATCGTGAGCTCATGATTAATACTGTTAGTCTGGCAATTTTCCCAAGTAGATCCTCAAATTTAAACCCCATTAAAACTCCAGCTGCTTTTCTGAAGAAATTGACAAGCTGATCCTAAAACTCATGTAGAAATGAAAGGAACCAAAATAGCCAAAACAATCTTGCAAAAGAAGACTAAAAGTGAAACAATTAACATTTTCCAATTTCAAAATTTACTAGAAAGATACAGTAACAATACAGTGTGGTACCGGCATAAGGATAGACAAATAGCTCAATGAAACAGAATTGAGGGTCCAGAAATAAACCCTTACATTTATGGTCAACTGATTTTCAACAAAGGTGCAAAGACAACGCAATGGGGAAAGAATAGCCTTTTCAACAAATGGTGCTGGGACAACTGGATCTCCATACGCAAAAAATTTAGACACTTACCTCACACAATATACAAAATTATTCTCAAATGGATTAACTCAAAATGGATCAAAGACCTAAATGTAAGAGCTAAAACTATAAAACTCTTAGAAGAAAACTTAGATGACTTTAGACTAGATAGCAGGTTCTTAGAAATGACACCTAAAGCACAAGCAATTAAAACAAAATAGGTAAACTAGACTGAATCAAAATTAAAAACTTTTATGCATCAAAGGACACTATCGAAGAAGTGAAAAACAACCCACAAAATGGGAGAAATATTTGCAAATTATTTATCTGATAAGGGTCTAGTATCCAGAATATGTAAGAAACTCTAACGACTCCATAAGAAAAAGACAAATAACCCAATTGAAAAATGGACAAAGGGGTGAACAGATATTTCTCCAAAGAAAATATACAAGTGGCCAATAGTACAAGACAAGATGCTCATTACTATTAGTCAATAGGGAAATGCAAATCAAAACCACAATGACATACTACTTTATACCCACCAGGATGTTAGGTTAAACAGTGTTCCCCCAAAATTCATGTTCACCCACTATGAATATGACCTTATTTGAAAATAGGGTCTTTGCAGATGTAATCAAGTTAACAACGAGGTCATACTGAATTAGGGTGAGCCCTAAATCCAATATGACTCATGTCCTTATAAGAAGAGGGAAATTCGGACAGACACATAGGGAGAAGATACCAATACAGACACACCCAGAGGGAAGATGGCCAGGTAAAACAGAGGCAGACAGGAAATATGCTGCCACAAGGCCAGGAATACAAAAGGTTGCCATCAACACCAGAACCTAGAAGAAACAAGGAAAGAGTCTTCCCTAGAACCTTCAGAAGGAGTGTAGCACTATCAATACCTTTATTTCAGATTTCTAGCTTTCAGGACTGTGAGAGAATAAATTCCTGTTGTTTAAGCCACCCAGTTTGTGGTGCTTTGCTACAGTAGCCCTAGGAAACTAATATAGACAGCTCTAATTTTTAAAATGAAAAATAACAAGTGTTGGCAATGATGTGGAGAAATTGGAGCCCTCATTCACTGCTGGTAAGAATGTGAAATGGCAGAGCCACCGTGGACAAATTTGACAGTTCCTCAAAAAGTTAAACATAGAGTTATTACATGACCCAGTAAATTCCACTCCTAGATATATATATATATATATATCCCCAAGAGAACTGCAAACATATGTTCACCCAAAAACTTGTGCATAAATATTCATAAAAGCCAAAAAAAGTGGAAACAATACAAATGTCCATCAACTGATGCGTAAATAAAATATGGTATGGTCATACAACGGAGTATTATTCAGCCATAAAAAGGAATGAAGTACTGATCATGCTACAATATAGCTGAAACTTAAAAACATCGTGCTAAGTGAAAGAAGTTAGACAAAAAGCCCACATATTGTATATGAATTCAGTAACATGAAATGTCTACAACAGGCAAATCCATAGAGAAAGAAAGTAGATTACTGGTTGACAGGGACTAGGGAGTGATTACTAATGGGTACAGGGTTTCCTCTGGGGGTGATTAAAAAAGTTCTGGAATTAGATAGTGGTAGTGATTATATAATCTTGTGAATATACTAAAACCCGCTAAATTGTACACTTTGAACAGGTAAATTTTATGGTATATATGTATTATACCTCAAATTCTTTAAAAAAAGAATGAACTACGATAACTAAATGAATGGCATTCAGTATTTAAATAGAACTGTAGAAATCAGGGAAAGCCTTAAGAATTGAAAAAACACTTTTTTGTTTGTTGGGGAATGTCTCATGCACAACTGAAATCACAGGAGTGAATGAACTCTCAGGGGAGAAAACAAAGAGAAAAAAGATGACACCTTAATCAGGAAAGTTGCCAAAGTGGCTGAGGCTCAGTCTCAGAGAAAGGCAGTAACTGGTAAAGAATAGATCACAAAAGCTGAGGCAAGAGAGTTTCAAACAGGGGGAAGCTACATATTACCTTTATATTTAGAAAAAATACACTCATACACAATAAATACTATGTAAAAGATGAAAATGAGGAAAAGAAGAATAGTGGACAATAATGTCAAAATGATATAAAAAATACAGGAAAGTAGGGATTGCAAAAAGCCAATCGATTTAAAAATATGTAGGTTATAAGTGATCTTCGGGGAAGTTTCAAGAGCATGGAGAAGACAAAGTCAGATTAAGTAGTCAAAATGAGCCTATGCCACACTTCTCAATATTTGGAAAAGAAAGGAAAAATTAAAATACGATGAAAACTATATCCTAGTCCAACGACCTGCTTTTTCAAAATAGCTAAGATCTGTTCACATGTGTCAACAATGACAAAGAAGCCAAATTAAAAAGAATTCCTAAAAAAGTTATGGAAATAGGAGATGTTCAGGGACAAAGGTCTAAGAAAGGCAAGAGAAAAAAGGACTGTAAGCAGAGAGAGATTTTCACACCCAAGTTAGTGACACAAGTTAATTCCACAAATGCCCAAGTCATTTAAATAAGTAACAATCTAGTTGTCTTACCCCTTCTCTTCAGGTGGCCAAGTACAAACAGCATGAATTACTGAAGAGACTCTGAAACTTTAGAGTAAAACAGACCTCTGCTCGATCCCAGCTCTACTATTCACATAACTAAGACATTAAGTGGTGAGTGAGGAGGAGGAGAGGAATCTGCATAATTTTATGAACAGAAATATATATGTATATCTTCTACAAAGGTAATTTTATAATATTTCAAATAAAAAGTCAACACAATTTGAGTAAAAACAGCATAATTCAGCACATACGTTGAATCTGAAGTATTAAATGGTTTTAAAAACTTTGTAAAATATATTAATTTTAAAGACATTTTACTTGAAGTATATTCTTTACGTGATTTTGTCTATAAATCTATTCCAATTCTTTGTGACCTACGTAACTTTGACTGACTTTATTTTTCACAATATACTGGCCATTATCTAGAAATCAATGGTTGCTTTGACTGAATATTTCTTAATGTTTTATTTTTCCAAGAAGAAACACTTTACGTTGATGAGTTACTCATTAGAATGAACACCTTTCTCTTTTGATAAAGTTACATCTTATGTTGCCCTTATTTTACTTTAGAATTTTCAACGGACAATGCTGAACCAACCAGTACCACAACAACCTACTCTGCAGCCATTTTAGTACTGGAAGTAGAGGTTTGTTCCTGACCTTTGCACACTCTCTCATACTGTTGTATAGCTTCTTCCACCTGATTACTTAACTGCTCCTGCAAAATGAAAGGATATGAATTAAATGCAAATGTAACTGAAACACACAGCAATACTTCATAGTGGGACTTGAAAACAGGGTACAATATTAGGTTTGAAATCTTTCGCCTACAAGGCTGACTACTAGTCTCAGCTTTCAAGTTTCTTTCACCTTGGGGAAAAGGGCAGGCTGACAGTGGTAATTAAAAGAAAAAGAAAAGAAAAGAAAATGTTATACCTTTAATCTATGTAAAAATTAGTGCCCAGTCATTTTACTTAACATTTTAAGTTTACCATGTTCCCGCACCACAAAAAGCAGAAACAGGAAAATGAAGATTTACTATGTACTATTTAACAAAGGAGGAACAAGAAAAACCACAAAAATAAAAAAAGTTCCCTTATCAGTAAACTCAGAAAAAAAAAGGGCCCTCCCTCCCCTCTATGTAGAAAATAGCTAGGAGGTTCAGAAAAAATAACAGAGCCTTAAGAGGCAAAACTAAATTATGAGCACTGGAAATCCTCCAAGTCTGTCAGGTACTCCAACCTCACTTTTTTTTTTTTTTTTTTTTGAGGAGGATTAGCCCTGAGCTAACATCTGCTGCCAATCCTCCTCTTTTTGCTGAGGAAGACTGGCCCTGAGCTAACATCCGTGCCCATCTTCCTCTCCTTTATATGTGGGACGTCTACCACAGCATGGCTTGCCAAGCAGTGCCATGTCCACACCTGGGACTCGAGCTGGCGAACCCCGGGCCACCGAAGCGGAACATGTGCACTTAACTCCTGCGCCACCATGCCAGCCCCCAACCTCACTCTTTGTCTTGTCTATCCTCAGCACTATCTCCTCACTTTGTAAGTCTCAGAATGAATCATTACAGAACTGGGAAATCTCTGAATCCTATTATGAAAGTACAGATTGCTTTATTAGGATTATATTCAGTTAAAAATTAAAATCATATATTTACATCTGAGTATTCACTAGTTTGCTTCATTTAAAAGCAAACACGCAAAAGATAGAACAAATCCATTTTTTATTGCTGCCTTATCCATTGAACTGATGTGAAGCAAAATATAACCATTTATAAATGGATTTTGCTTTTTAAGTGTCCTTTTATTTATTTCTTTATTTGCTGAGGAAGATTCACTCTGAGCTAACATATGTTGCCAATCTTCCTCTTTTTGCTTGAGGAAGATTCACCTTGAGCTAACATCTGTGCCAATCTGCCTCTGTTTTATAGGTGGGTCCCCGCCACAGCATGGCCACTGATGAGTGGTATAGGTCTGCAACTGGGAACCAATCCCAAGCCACGGAAGTGGAGTGCACCAAACTTAAACACTAGGTCATGGGGCCAGCCCCTAAGTGTCCCTTTAAAAAATAATTTTTTACAAGACCTGAGCTCATTTTCTTTTCACTTTTTATTTCGAAATGATTTTAGATTTATAAAAGAGTTGCAAATACCAGCAGAGATTTCCTGTGTAACCTCCTCTTAGCTTCCCCTAATGTTAACATCTAATATTACTATGGTACATTTATTTAAAAATCAAGAAACTAATATTGGACACAGAAAAAAGAGCAGCTGAGTCTCAGAACTCTATAATTTAGAACATGGAAACAATCATCTTTGTATGGAAAAAAGAAATTAGCACTGGTATATTTACTTGGATTTCATCAGTTTCTCCACCAATGTCCTTTTTCTGTTCTAGGATCCCATACAGGACACAACCCTGCATTTAGTTATCATGGTCCTTAGTCTCCTCCAATCTGTGACAGAGTTCCTTGGTAATCCTTTTCTTTAAGGACCTTGACACTTTTTATTGGTCAGGTACTTCGTAGAACATCCTCAGTTTGAGTGGTCTGATGTTTCTCACAATTAGACTGAAGTAACAGATTTGGGGGGAGAATATCACAGAAGAGATGTGCCCCTCTCATCACATCAAATCAGGAAGTACATGGTATCAACATGACTTGCTACCAGTGATGCTATTCTTGAACACTCAGTTAAGGTGATGTCTGCCAGGTTTCTCTACTATAAAGTTACCATTTTTTCCTTTCTAGAAGCAAATCACTATGGCCTTATTTAATTTTAAGCAATTTATTTTTATATTCCAAAAAAGGTCAAAAGAGAATTTGTTATAAAAAGCTGATACATTTAGTTAAACATTAAAATATAGCAACAGACTCTATGTAAACCATCTTTACAAACAAAACTATTACCTTTAGTTGCTGAATGGTTCTCTGTTTCATTTCTATTTCCTGAGAGCACTGGTTTTTCTTTTTCTCCAGTTCATTAATTTTAATCCTCAGTAATTTCTCCTCATCACGCATTACAGACACCTACAAAGTAATGTTTATAAAACAAATTAAACATTTTTAAAAATATCAGTTGCTTTTTGTTGTTTAAAATTCATGGTCATTGGTTCAAAGATTCACACTCTTTAAAACCCATTAGAAAAATTACAAGTTCTAACAGACTACATGATATGGCTTCAAATTATTAGAAAATCTCTTAATACTCTAAAGGAGAATGCACATGATGAGATTATTTTGTTCTTACAGTATTTTAAGAATCTCAAACTCTGTAAGTGCTCTCAAAAAAAAATCAACATAGCACCTTGGGTGTAACAGCAAAATCATTATCACAGAAAAATCAATCGAGATACTCTAGGGGGAAAATACTGGCTCGCATTTCCAAGGTTTATTGAGTAATGTGATCCAGGAATACAAGAAATATTTTAAAAGCTAATAATGGCATATAGAAGATGAAAATGGAACAACTGCAAGATCAAAAGGTACCCATACAAGTGAAGGTCAATTGATTTTTGGTGTTACTGGTAAACTAATTCTATGAACTTGTTAAAAAGAAATCAGAAGCACTATGAACTACTACGCAAATCTTCACCAAAAAAAAAAAAAGAAAGAAAGGTAATCTATGTATATCTTTAAGCCAATTTCCATCATAACAATCCTAGAGATCTCAAAAACTGAAGGAAATTCATTGAAAAAAGTCCCCTCTCATAAAAAGTATGGAGATGCCATAACAATAGTAGCTCTAAATGGTTTGGTTTCAGGATATTATTTTACATTGTTTGTTAGGCTTTCTGTATGTTTCAAATTTACTACAATAAATACATATATAATATTTATTTTCACCTGCTTATCTTTTTAAAAATATGGGACTTCCAGTAATAAATACCATCCTCATTGATTTTACAGACATAAACTGTCAGCCAAGAATAAATGGAGACTATGTGTTGCACTGAGATGCACATAAGGACTGTCTCAGTTTCCATCTTCGCTCTACCATTTACTAGCTAAGTGAACTTGGACAAGTTATCTCTCTCAATGTGTATTTCCTTATCCATAAACTGGAAGTTAAAAATGCTGCCTACCACTAATATCAGTCTGAGAATTAAACGAGATGATATACGTAAACTCAGAGTAACCGACCTAGACTAAGCTGTTACTATTATTATTATTATTAGCATTAACACTACACATTGTTTATTTTGAGAAACAGAATTAATACCCATCATCAGAGTAATGTGAAATAGTCATCTATATAATAAATCATTTTTTAAAGAGATACTCTATAAATAGTGGTATGAAAAAAATCTTAAAAATAGAATAAATTTAAAAGCAATATTTATATATAGTTAAGTTCATCTATAAAAAATAAAAATACACAAGTACATGCAGTAACTATCTGTATACATATATCATGTTAAACGTATATAAAAAGATCTAGAGGAACACAGATGGACTGTCAAGAGTGGTTCATAATTAAGAAGAGAGAAATGAGACTTAGAAAGGCTTTCACTTTTATCTTCATTTCTTAAAAAAATTTCCTAATAATGTATTACCGTAAGTTTTTAATTGGAAAAAGAAGCTATTTTTTAATAACCGAGTAACTGGTTCCATGTGAACACAAGTCAATTATGCCATGCTTGCTAAAGCTTACTGACAATCACGATGTTAAATAAATCAGGAAGTTACCTGCCTAGAAAGCAAACAATCCAGGTCTTCTGAGTGTCAAACAAGGGCTTTTCCAAATTATGCTATACTGCTTTTAACTTGCTGATCTGACTAAAAACTTTTCTATTGCCTAATTACAGTCTAGGTCACCTCTACTGTCTTAGATTTCTAAACTAATCTGCCTTCGAAACATCTGTCACGTGGCCTGGAAACTTTCTGTGTGTAATTATCAGAAAGAACATATATTTTGCATTTTATCTATGGTGGTATTGTTTGTATTTTTCTTCCATTGATTAAAAACTTTATTACATTTCCCTTATTATGAATGAATACATATTCAATATAAGAAATTAAGAAATGTGACAAGTAAAATTTTTTTAAAATTACCTATAATACCATTACCTAAGATAATCAAAATATATAATAATTATATTTGATATATTTCTTTGCAGTCTATATTGTTATGCAAATTTTCCACATAGTTTTAATCTATGTATATAAAATTGGGTCTAGCTTCTATTACTTAACATTATCACATAAGCATTTTCCCATAATATCATAAAAACTTAGAACTTATCACTGTACTTAAATCAGAATCCTGCTAAATATACTGACAATAAATATGGGAACTTAACCACTGATAAAGCTATGGGAAACACAATTTACACATCTCTACAAATCACTATAAATGAAGTAACAGAACTTAGGCGAAAGCTTCCAGGCATCAGAGTGCTTAAGAAGCTGGCAGGGGAAAGAAGGAACCTCTGTTCACAGAAATGCAGAGGGTACTAGACGCAAGAGCTCCTCTCCCCTCCCTCTTCTTCACTGCCACAGGCCTATTAGTCATGACAATGATTTAGTCAAAAAGTTCATACTCCTTCTTATTTTTTCATTCATTTTTAATTCACATTAATACTATATTATTGTGGAAGTTTTCTTATGTTAAATGAAAAATTGTCCCAGAACTTCGATTAGTTTAGAAGAAACTAATCCACTACTGAAAACAAAAAAATGCCAGATTAAAAAAAAACTGCAATACTCTTAAATGCACTGAGGAACTAGCAAAAAAAAGTAAGAAATATTGAGATTAAAAAACTAAACGAGAAAAGAATCAGAAATAAGTGGAGGACGAACTGATGCTGGCTTTTGTTTTGAGGACACTCACAGAATGAGGTGGTCTGATTTTCAAAAGAAATGGTAAAAACGCTATTAAAATAAAGAAATTCAATCATTAAACACAACAGGTAAACTAGAAGATATTTGCAACATATTTAACTGACAAAGAGTTAGAATCAAGAATAAAGAAATCCTGCAAAATAGTAAAAATAATAAAAAAGCACAATTAAAAGAAAATATCAACAACAGATTTCAGAGTGGAAAATGGAATAGACAAATAGCCAATAAAAACATGAATAGATACTGCACTTCATTAGTAATCAGATGAAGGCAATTTCAAACCACAGAGAGACACCTCTTCATATCCTCTGATCCAGCAAGTCTGCCCCTTGGAATATAAACTCTTGCACAGTTGTGCCATGGGTATGTATAAGATAAGAAAACTGTTTCTAAGAGAAAAAAGGAAACAATCTAAATGGTCAACAAAAGAATGGATAAATAAATTGCAGTATATCACACAATGGAGTATTATACAGCAGCGAAAGTGATTAATTACAACCATACAGAAGTGAATTTCAGGAATACGACGTGAAAACTAAGTCTCTGAGGATTATAATATACTGTTTAGAATAAAAAGCAAGTATGTGTTAAATTATATTTTTAAAAGTTAAGAGAAGATAAACACAAAACATTCAGTATAGTAACTTCTGTGGGTGTAGGAAATATGGACTAGAGATGAGACTCATAAGCATTTGTTCTATCAATTTTTGACCTTATACATTTAAGTTTTCTTTTGTAACTAACTTAAAGTAATGAAAGATAATTCTTTAAAACTGTTTCAGCTTCTAGAAAAGGTCTAAGTATCATAAAAAATCAAGCAGTCATAAAAGAAAAATTAGTAAATTTAACTTTATGAAAATCAAAATTTACTCCAAGGCAAAAAAGAACCATAATCAAAATCAAGAAAAATGGCAAAGGAATGGAATCCGCAATTCATATCCTTAAAAGGCTAATTTCCTGAATATGTAATAAGCTCCTATAAAGCGGCAGTAATAAAAAAAAAAAAAACAACCCAAACTAAAAAGGCAATGGATATGAACACACAGTTCACAGAAAAAAAAATACAAATGGCTTTTAAACAAAAAGATACTCACTCATAATTAGAGAAATGCAAATTAGAATTACAGAGAGATACACTAGTCACCTGTCAAATTAGCAAATATCAAAAAAATATGATAAAATACTACTTTATACCAGGGTGTAGAGAAAAAGATATTGTCTTATTTTCATACATTACACATGGCATGTAAATTGGCATAATCTCTAAAAAGCATAATAAATATCGAAATTACAAATGTACAAAACAGTGACCCATAAATTCCACTTTTAGGAATTGTACTACAGAAAGACTTGCAAATGTTCAAAATGACATTGCTGCATAATTTGAATCAGGAGAAGACAGGAAACTACCTGAATTGTCCAACAATGGGGGACCAATTTACTAAAGGTAAATACATTTTGTAGTCATAAAAATGCGTATTTGGAGACTCTTTATTTCCTGATACGAAATGACAGCCAAGGTAATTATTAAGTGAAAAAACCAAGGTTCACAACAATGTTTATAGGATATTTTCATGTTTTATAGGAAGAGAAAGAAAAGATAGAGAAGGCAGGAGAAGTAAAGAGAAAGAAAGTAGTTGGTAACATTTGGAGAGAAACCTAACGGCTGGAAGATGGGTCAGAGGGAGTTTTTTCCCTCACTATACATTAGTTTTGTGTATTGTGAACCAGGAATCATATGATTGCATTTCCTGTTTTAATAAATAATAAAAACTGGTTACAGTTGCACTGCATACTCTCCTAAATACCATCTGTAAACAAAAGTTTGCTTTTCACTTTTTAGGGGCAACTAATCCTACACTAGGCACATATTTTTCTTAATGTTGGTCATTCTTCAGGTTACTTAACCTGACTAAGTTTTCTTTTGTGAATTATTCTCATCTTTTTAAGAAAAATTACAGAGTTGTCAAATGTTCTGAAGGTTCAATCCTAAAATTAGTGTCTCAGCTTGCTATATAAGGAAAACAATCTTTATCATTTAAATTGGCCATACAACTTTTCAAATAATCTACCTCTTTCTGGACTTGCTCAATCTGCTTTTTGGCATCAGCCAGTTTCTCTTTCAGCTCAGCATAATCTTCTTCCTTCCTCTGAAGATCTGCTTTCAAATTCTGGGTAAGAGCAGAGCTTGCAGAGAGCTCCTCTTTCAACCTGAAAAACACAGATCACTTTTCTATAGCGACACACCACTAACCACTTAGGCTCATCCATGTGACCCCTGTTAACAATCTACAAAATTACATCTTTTCACGAATTCAGAATGTCCAAACCATGAAGGAGTCCTTCAGAGAGGATTTCAGGAGATTTTATAAACAGATCTTTGAATATAGTTTTATTCAAAGGTTTCAAAGGTTTATAGAAACAAAAGTTCAAGTTCTTCACTCATCGTACATGCTATACTTTACCAGATTAAGTTATGCCCACCTAAATTATTTAAAAGCTACATAAGAAAATCAGTAAAATGAATGCTTTGCATATTTTAATAACATTTAGCTTACTTTTCTGTTTCTTGCCAGTTGGTTTCTTTTTCTTCTTCCTTTAATTGAAGTGAATGCTTTGCATCTTGCAAGTTATTTGTCAAATGTGTGATTTCTTCTTTTAACTTGACTTCCCTTTCACTTAAATCTTTGGTGTTTTTGATAGAATCCTGAAGATTTGCTTGAAATTCCTTCAGATTTTTTTCTAGTTTTAAGATGATAGTTTCCTTTTCCAAAACTTCTTGTTCTAACTTGGCTGAACGACTACATTCATCTTTCTGAGTTTCTAAGATTGCTTCCAGTTCCTTTACTTTCACTTTATAGCAAGTAACAACTTCTGTAAGTTCTGAAAGTGCTTTCTTTCCTTCAACTACATGCTGTACTTGCACATCAAGATTAATGTTTTTTTCTTGCAATTCTTCTTTGAGCTGCTGTATGAGACTTTCTTTCTCTTTTAGAAGGTCATCCTGATTTTTATTCTCCCTCTCCTCTGTTTTTAGTCTATTGTTTTCATCCTTGTAGCCTTTTATTTCTGCCTCTAATTTTTCAATGTGTTGTTCCAGTTCCTGGATCTGATGACTTTTTTTGGAAGAAGCCTTTACAATCTCCTTACATTCTTCCCAAATGGCTTCAATACTAGAGTGGAAAGAACTTTCCCTACTGAGTTCTTGAATACGATATTCTTTAAGCTGCTTGTTTACCAAATCATTATTATCCAAAAAGTGTAGCTGTGTATTTGGCAAATTATTCTCTTGAGAACCACTTGACAGATCCCTGAGATTGAGTAAGTCTATGTTTGAGATCTGAGACACTGAATCAAGCGTACGTAGTTCATCTATTTTTGCTTGCATTAATTTTATTTGTGAAACATTATTTGTGGTGTTTCTTTTAGCGGTTTCTAACTCCTTTGACAAATTCATGATCTTTTCCTCCTGTTCTCGATTTATACCTCTCAGCACATGTAATTCAGAAATTGCACTGTCATAATTGGACTGAATTTGTTGGATTTCTAGACTTAAAGTAAAACTCTTTTTCTCAGAAAAAGAAAGTTCCTGCTGAAAACTAACAATCTGTTTATTTAATTCTGCTTTTTCTTCCATTTCATTTTTAAGTTCATTCTCAACAACGAGTAAACGTGTTTTCAGCTCACTATTTTCTTGTAAAACTCTAACGTCTTCCTCATCTTCTGAAATGCTCTGTTGCATTTCTTCAGCTTTCTTTTGGTCTTCAGTAATAGTTGGACTAACATGTATAGGTCCTGCAAAAATAAGAAAATTGTTAGTAGTCTGGCAGACCTCAATAAAACCAAAAAGTTACCATATAAGCCAATATTCAAACATATGAAACATAAGAAAGCAAACTCTTAATGAAAAACAGAAATAAGCTACTGAGTGAAAAAGAAAAAGCACGTTGCAAAACATACATGGTATAAGCCCATTTATGTAAAAATTATAGTTTCTAAGTTAATGCAGAGAGAGAGATACCAAAACGATGATAGCTGCCTCTGAGTAGGATTACCAGTTATTTCTATTTTCTTTTATAACTTTCAATATTATTCAAATGTTCTGCCACAAATCTTTATTATCATTAGAATATGGCACAGAGGGGAGATCACATGAGACAGCCCAAGGCAGACATCTCACATCCTAAAGAACAGTTTTAAAGTACAATTATATTACAGATCTACTAAATTAGTAATTTGAAAACTGAGTATCTTGAATTCTCATAGCTAAAATTAGGGAATAAATGGTTGAAATTCTGGGAAGTCTAGTGTAGCCTTACCCTTCACAAGCTGTTTAACTGTCAATAAACTGCTTAACCCTACGACTCCTTCTTCAAATGTAAAACGGAAATAATAATACTGCCACCTATCTCAGAGTTATTGTGAAGGTCAAGATAAGAAAGGAGCTTAGAACACCGTGCTTGGGATATTATTAGCTATTATTAGATACTGAAAATCTGTACAGAAGTGTTCAGCTAATTAAAACTGAATAAAAGTTACCCTTTTTCAGGCTCAATATCTACATTTCTAGAATAAGGATATTTCTACCTGCCCTACCTACTCTGCAGGCAAGTGTTAAGAGGCTAAAATGTGTTAACATATAATGTATGTTAAAGCATTTTGTAAATGTTATAAATACAAAAACTTGAACAATTATAGTTAATAGAGTATACCATACCCAGAGTAGATGCACTATTAGCTAAAACTTAACTCTTAACATTCATTTAGACAAATTAACTCACCTCCACAACTATCTAATATAAATTACACTCATGCATCGCTTAATGATGGGGATATGTTCTGAGAACTGGGTTGTTAGGGAATTTCGTCATTGTGCGAACTTCACAGAGTGTACTTACACAAACCTAGATAATATAGCTTACTACACAGCTAAACTATATGGTATGAATCTTATGGGACCACTGTCGGATACGCAGTCCACTGCTGACCGAAACATCATTATATGGCACATGACTGCATGTTCAAGATTTTCTCGTAGATTTTATGACTAAATCTTGCAACAATCCTCAATTCTCTAGATACACAAATTTATCTTTTTATGTTTCCATACAATTTCCATTATTATAGTGAGGTCTGATGAGTGTCTCACGGTAGGAAAATTACTTCAAAATATTTAAGAATCTGACTCTCCAAGTTTTCAAATTTTTTCCTGTTTTATTTCACTCCATGGTTTGATGTTTATACTTGAACTTTCCAAAGTCATTGCTCTGATATAATCAACTGCATATGTCCTTTTGAGCTTCATTCACTCCCTTACTGATCATTTATCTGTCAATATTTTTAGTCGATATCCTATATTTTTATTTGATATCCTCACTAAGCACTTAAAAATTAAATTCGTCATGCTTAAAGGTCTGAGATATCCTATGAAGTACAAGCAGTATTAATCCATAAAAGCAGAAGATGGTTATAAGGAAGAGTTGGCTTCAAATCCTCCTTGTTAAGAAACCTGTTACTTACGGTTGGTATCTGCCCAATGAATATAAGAAGTGTATCTTTTCTTTTTAGTGAGCCCCTCATATTATCCTATGCATATTAGCACATTATATTATATTGAAATAATGTTTGTTGCTCTCATCTACTAGATTCTAAACTCCCTGATAGCAGACTGTGTCTTATTCATCTTTACAAACCTGAACAATAATCCTAAATGAAATATTTTTGAAATTTAGCTGCATCACATATGTTCTTCTTTTCTAAGAATATCATTGTACCAGAAAAATATAATTTTTTCAATCAGTAACCTATTCTGGTTCTAGATATATGCAAATTCACAATCTGACATGCCTCAGTTACATTAACTTGGTTACTTTAGTGTAATTTTGTTTAAAATTTTAAGGTCCTCTCCTTACATCTTTTTATAAAAGGGATTCTCTAGCTTTATTGGCCAGAATTACCAAGGGAGCTTATTAAAGTGCAGATTCCTAGGAACAAATACCAAAGATACTGATTTGGTAAATCTGGAGTATACTATACATGTAACACTTTGAGAATTACTGCCCTATGCATTTATTTTTAAAAATTTCTGGAAGAAGTTGACAGTCACCTCTGCAACATATTTGGAATCTAAACTTATCAGTCTGCTTCACATTGAAGCCCCTATCTGGCACTCCTGCTCCATGTAATTGTTCCATAAGAGATAAATGTCAAATCTCATGTAGTTATGAGATTCAAGCCCACAAATTTTTCCCCTGCCTCTGGCAGGCTCTTGTGTTTCCAGGATGAGAGATGATAATAGCCCATGGGATGTACACATAATGAATCTGTTCAATGAAGAAGGCAACATTTTTGAGATCATAAAAAGCTCTTTGAGATGAAATCTACCATCCTATATACAACTAAGTTTCTATCTTCCTATATACTAATCACTATTGAAGTTGTAAGCAAAATAAAGGAAAAGCATAAGCATTTATAAAAGGTTGTTCAGATACTATTATACAATATGAGGGAAAAAACTTAAGTGATTGTTCTTAAGATTTTTAATCCTATCACCCCTTTAGATAAATTAAAATCCTAGCCCTCTTCCAGCATTACTGTGATACCAAAGCCAGATAAAGGCACTAAAGAAAAGAATATTACAATATCCCTGATGAACATAGATGCAAAAATCCTCAGCAAAATATCAGCAAATCAAATTCAACAGTACATTAAAAGGATCATACACCAAGATAAAGTGGGATTTATCCCAGGGATGTAAGAATGATTCAACATATGCAAATCAATATGATACACCACATTAACAAAAAGAAGGATAAAAATCATATGATCATCTCAATAGAGATAGAAAAGCATTTAACAAATTCAATATCCTTTCATAATAAAAACTCTCAACAAACTGGGTAGAGAGGTAATATATCTCAACAGAATAAAGGACATATATGACAAGCTCACAGCTAACATCATACTCAGAGAAAGGCTGAAAGCTTTTCCTCTAAGATCAGGAACAAGAAAAGGGTATCCACTCTCACCACTTCTATTCAACATAGCACTGAAAGTCCTAGCCAGAGCAGTTGGGCAAAAAAGAAATAAAAGGAATCCCAATTGGAAAGGAAGAAATAAAACTGTCCATCTGCTGATGATATGATGTCACATATAGAAAATCCTAAAAACTCCACCAAAAAACTATTAGGAGTAATTAAAGGATTCAGTAAAGTTGGAGGATACAAAATCAATATACAAAACTCGGTTGCATTTCTATACACTAACAACAAACTATCAGAAAGAGAAATTAAGAAAACAGTACTGGGGCTAGCCCCATGGCATAGTGGTTAAGTTCAGTACACTCTCCTTCAATGCCCTGGGTTCACGGGTTCAGATCCCACACACGGACTTAAACCACTCATCAGCCATGCTTTGGTGGCAACCCACATATAAAGTGGAGGAAGATTTCACAGACGTTAGCTCAGGGCTAATCTTCCTCAGCAAAAAAAAAAGAAAATAATACCATTTAAAACAGCACCAAAAAGAATAAAATACAAATAAATTTAACCAAGGAGGTGAAGGATCTGTACAGTGAAAACTATAAAACACTGGTGAAAGAAACTGAAAAAGACACAAATAAACATAAAAATAATCCATGAACATGGATTATAAGAATTAATATTGTCAAATATCCATACTACCCAAAGCAATCTACAGATTCAAAGCAATCCCTATCAAAATTCCAATGGCATTTTTCACAGAAATACAAAAAAAAAAATCCTGAAATTCCTAGAAGAAAACATAGAGGGTAAGCTCCTCAACATTGGTCTTGAAGATGACTTTTTAGATTTGACACCAAAAGCAAAAGCAATAAAAGCAAAAATAAACAAGTGGTACTACATAAAACTAAAAAGCTTCGGCAAAGCAAAAGAAATCAACCAAACAAAAAAGGAACCTACAGAATGGGAGAAAATATTTGCAAACAATATATCCAATAAGGGATTAATATCCAAAATATACAAAGATCTCATATAACTCAATAGCAAAAAAAACAACGCAATTAAAAAATGGGCAAAGGACCTGAACAGACACTTTTCCAAAGAACATATAATGAATGGCCAATAGATACATGAAAAAGTGCTCAACATCACTAATCATCAGGGAAATGCAAATCAAAACCACAATGAGATATCACCTCACACCCGTTCAGATGTCTATTATCAAAAAGACAAGATAAAGAAGGCTAGTGAGGCTGTGAAGAAAAGGGAATCTTTCTATACTGTTGTTGGGAATGTAAACTGGTGCAGCCACTATGGAAAACAGTATGGAGGTTCCTCAGAAAATTAAAAGTAGAACTACCATATGGTCCAACAATCCCACTTCTGGGTAAATATCCAAAGGAAACAAAATCTCTATCTCAAAGAAGCATCTGCACCACCATGTTCATTGCAGCATTATTTACAACAGCCAAGACATGGAAACAACCTAAGTGTTCATCAACAAATGAATGGATAAAAAAATGTGCTGTATATATACAACGGCATATTATTCAGCCTTAAAAAAAGATGGAAATCCTGCCATTTGCAACAACATAGATGAACCTGGAGGATGTTATGCTAAGTGATATAAGCCAGACAAAGACAAATACTGCATGGTATCAGTTATACGTGTGGGAAAAAAGGATCATTCATAGAAACACAGAGTAGAATGGTGGTTGCCAGGGGACAGGGGTTGAGGAAATAGGGAGAGGTTGATACAAGCGCACAAACTTTCAGTTATAAGAGAATATGGTCTGAGGATCTAATGTATAACACGGTGACTATATTTAATAATACTGTACTGTATAATTGAAATTTGTTTAAAGAGTAGAACTTAAGTGTTCTCGCCAAAAATGAGAAAAAAAAAGGTAAATATGAGAGGTGATGGATGTGTTAATTAATGATGGGATGGTGGGAATCATGTATATGTTTATGAAATCATCATGTTGTACACTTTAAATATATTACAATATAACTTGTCAATTTATACTTCATCAAAGCTGGGGGAAAAAATCCCAGATTTCTCAAGATACTGATTTATCCCCAGTGAAAGTATGCCCCCATCCAAAAATCACTATATAATCTGAGAATCTTACTCTCTACTCTTATCCAAGAATTTATCTAGTTTTACACTCCATAGTGTATATACAAAAACAAGCTTTATTAGTAAGTTTTCACTTTTCAAATACAATCCATATTCTTTCCCTTCACCCAATTGTCTAAATGTTCTTAGGCAGCTATAATTATGTAATCTTATTATGGGATCCCAAGATCCCTTTTCTTTAATACAGACTAATTTTAAAAGTTCACTGGACAAAGTTTTATTATCTGTAACTTACACTGTCTCTCCTGCCTCAAAAAGGATGGGAAAAACATAGTATTGCCCCTGCTGTATAACCTTACTTTCTTGAAAGCTGCTGAGTTACTTTTGAAGCTTTTCTTACGTTTGTAGTTACCTCTTCCTTATTTACTGCCTCAAGATTCTCAGTTTATTCTAAGGATTCCAGCCACTCTGGCATCAAGATTTGTCCTTATTTACTTTTACAACAAACTTGCCCACTTACTCTTATGGACTTTTTTTTTTTTTTAAAGATTGGCACCTGAGCTAAGAATTGTTGCCAATCTTTTTTTTTTCCTGAATTCCCCCAGTACGTAGATGTACATTTTTCAGTTGTGGCTCCTTTAAGTTGTGGCATGTGGGACGCTGCCTCAGCATGGCCTAATGAGTGGTGCCACATCCATGCCCAGGATCCGAACGGGCAAAACCACAGAAGCGGAGTGTGCGAACTTAACCACTGGGCCACAGGGCCAGCTCTCAGATTTTTTCTTTAACACTGTTCAACCAACGTATTATTTTTCATTTGATTGTCTCCCAGCATCTTACAAAGTTGTGGCAAGTCATCCCAAAGGGGAATAACCTGGACTACTCCACTGGTTCAGACTTCTGTTGTACTTTCCATTTAATGTACATCTCTATTTAGGATGATATCTTCACACCTATGACTTTACCAGTGGTAATGACTAATTGAGGAAACTAAACGATGATGATTAAGAGTCCTGTATTCTTTTTTCATAACTTAGAAACGTTTAAAAAAAAATCCTTGGGAGCCCCCTGGTGGTACAGCCGTTAAGTTCGCACATTGCTCTTTGGCAGTCCGAGGTTCACCAGTTCCGGTCCCAGGTGCCAACCTATGCACCGCTTGTCAAGCCCTGCTGTGGCAGGTGTCCCACATGTAAAGTACAGCAAGATGGGCACAGACGTTAGCTCAGGGCCGGTCTTTCTCAGCAAAAAGAGGAGGATTGGCAGCAGATGTTAGCTCAGGGCTAATCTTCCTCAAAAGAAAACCCAAAAAATCTTCTTGCCCTTTAAAAAAGACAAGTTATATAAAATGTCTGAACCCTTCATCAGGAGAGAGACAGGATCTAAGCAAGGTAAAAATGACAACAATCAGAAATTCAGAGCTCACATTAGATCCCGACTATGCTCAGTGAAGAGATTTGAGTCATGCATATCATATGGATGTAGTCCCTAAACCCTGAAGTGAATAGAGAAAGCTCAATAAACTTTTTGTGATCAAGCAATGTTGTTTTCTTAACTTCACTATAGTTTAAGAACTAGGATAATTACACAATATAAAGTAAATCAAACTAATTTGTTTTGCACCTGATTTTCTTTTTCATATATATTCATACTATTCTTTCAGAAATTTTAAAACGTTTTATATCAACAGATTTACAGAATATATTCAGGACAGCTTTGTCAGGGAGAAGTTAAAGTATCAGTCCAGCAACAAAGACAGGAAAAAGACTAAAGTATCTACAGTTAACTTATACAAGGTAAACATAAACAACAAGAAGAAAGTACCATCAAGACTTTAATATTTACACTAAATTCAACTATACTTATACTGCTTATATTTTGTTACAAAAAATTACAGTTTTGATTGAAAAATCACAGGTTAAGTAGATTGTGTCAAATCTCCAGTTTGTCTCCTTTATACTATCTGAAGGCTTATTTCTTAGACTATTTACATGCTTACCAGCTTCGTCAAAGTACAGATACAGTGACCTCAAACAAGTATACTCACTTTCATAGGGAAATGGCTTTTGTATTTCCTTTTAAGAACAGAAAACATGCCTTCTATGAAACTATAACATCCCGATCCTTGAAACTATAACGTCCCGATCCTATCCTAGTGATTACAGGAGTCACATATTTTGTTCTGGAGATTTTTTAGTAGCAGGTAGAGGGGAAGGAGGGTGGGTCTATCTCCGATTTTCATATGATCCCTCATGTAGTCCCTATAATCTCTACTAACATGAATAGTTAAGAAATAGCCAGGGGCCAGCCTTGCGGCTGAGTGGTTAAGTTCGCACACTCCACTTTCATGGCCCAGGGTTTCGCCAGCTTGGATCCTGGACGTGGACCTAGCACTGCTCATCAAGCCATGCTGAGGTGACATTCCACATAGCAGAACCAGAAGGACCTACAGCCAGAATATACAACTATACACTGGGTAGCTTTGAGGAGAAGAAGGAAAATAAAAGAAAACTGGCAACAGATGTTAGCTCAGGTACCAATCTAAAAAGAATAATTAAAAAAAAAGAAATAGTCAAATTGGCTGTGAATTTAAGGAGAAAAAAATATTGCTATGTTACCTGAACTTATTTAAACCTACCCACATCCAAGTTATTTATAGCTAACAACTATAGTTCTCACATAATCTTATTTTCATGAATGGGTTACCTTTAGGATTAGTCACACTGTGTATATCACTTGCTCCTGGCCACTTCCACTTCCCAGTGAACTATAGATCCTACATTCTCAACTACTCTGTGGCACTGACCAAGGTGAAACAAAGAGAGGAAGAGTGCTATGGAAATCACAGCAAGGTTATCCTCCCACTAGCAAAGGCACTCCTCCTTCAATGGATAACAGAAGGCTGACTATGCATATTAGTCCCAATCTATTAGCTCACATAAGCACTGTACATCCTATAAACCACGTATCTAATGCTATATTATCCTTTAAGGCATCTACTTTTGAAAACATTCATTTTACTGAGGTTCAATGAGATGTGTATTATATTGGTGTATTACCCAATTGTTTTCAGCCTTGACAACCTCAGGAGGCAGGTAGTATTTATTTTATTTTACTAATCACAAAAGTAAGACTTAACTTACCCATCTTTCTCAAGGTGAAGCTGCTAATCCAGTTTGAAAGCTAATGTGCTTTCTCTTAGAAGCCCTACCTCCCTGTATCATACTATAAAAGTTTTCCAAAAGAAATAATGAACATCTTTGAGAGAACATAAAAGTTGCTATGTTATTCCACATAAACAGGGAGTTATAGTATAGAGTAAGCATGCATCCACTTTTTTTTAGTAATACTATAGCAAATACAACCCGAGCACATTTGTCTTTAGCAATGTCAGCTCACAGTCTTACTGGCAAATGTCCTTTACTCCAAACGAATAAAGAATGCAAAGGAAGAAAATAATGTGAAGAGATTTTGGCAAAAAAAGGTAGCATAATTACGAAAATGAAAGCACTAAGTTTTAACTACTATAAGCACAGAAGTAAAAGAATTATAGGCGTGCAAAAGTGATAAAAGCTTAACATCTAAAAACGTATTTATTAAAATGAAAGACATCTTTAAATACATCCATCCTCTAGACAGTTTATAACATGTTAGAGTAAAAATTAGTGACATTTAAATTTCCTCAAGTTTTTTCCTCAGACAAGTAAATTTCCTCCTTTTTGCAACTTTTCTGTTTACTGGCTTAGGAATTAGCTTTCTTAAAGGCCTTCTGCTGGCAATTGAAGGAGTACCTTTCTTTGCTGGTGGTTCATCTTGCTGACGCTCATCTTCATTTAATCTTTTTCTTCGTAAACAGGTTTTCATTTTGTTGTCCTTAGACATTTCAACTGTTTCATTACAAGCCAATTTATTATTTATTATTAAAGATGGACCAGCCTTATCCTAAAGTAAAATAAACTAAGATTAGTTCACATATAGAAAGCTACAATGCAAAAATTATATAAATTATGTTTCAATAGTGTATCATAAAAATTTTATTTTCAAATTTGTTCAAACATTTTCTTGGTTATTTAAGTCTCACCCTAAAATAACTGATGGCTCTTCAAATAAGTAATATTAACTAACTTGTATACTCATTAAGGACAAAAAAAACTTGTCCTACAATCAGTTGAGCATGTAGCTTCACCCTGATACCTACAAACGAATTCATCTTCAGATTTCCCCAGGTGATCAGGTGGGTTAGACTTGTTCGGGGGTTACTGCAGAACCCTAAAACACTTACCCTAAGTCACAACCAAAATGCGCTTTGAAAGGAAAAATATGAAAACACTATGACAAAATTGTTTCTTATAGATACTTTTACTTAAAATCTTGAGTCCCACTCTGGAAACTCAACAATTGTTTTGTTTTGTAACCAAAGCCTCTCAAAGATAAGCAGCATTGTCTTACACTTTAACAACTCTCAGAAAGATGGTTTTGACCTGAGCTTCTAGTCTACAAATATTCAAAGATATACAGTCTACATACAGCTTTAAAACTGAGCTCTCTGTTTATCTAAATGATAAAAATCACTTAGGTTTTTATTTTTTAAGGCAAATAGTATGCATCCCCAAAAGGCTAGGAGAAAAATAGTACAATATGGTCTTATCCAGAAAGAGGACAGGTGAACTCAATAGCTCAGTGCAAGTCTATACAGGAATCAAAGGTACGGTAAAGGGAGGGATTTTTTAAATGCAGAGATTAATTAAATCCCTACATACTGGTAGCAATCCATCTTGGGGAAAAAGAGCATCTGAAAAGCACCATTTTACATCATAAAACTAGCAAATGTTTTATTCTTAGGAGCTACAGATAAAATGAGTTTTTTAAGTCATAAAGTAATGAATTATTTTACAAAAGCAAAGTTTTTCCTAGCTATCCCTAAAACAGAACCTCATGAAGAACAAGCTTCATGCTTTCTCACAATTAGTCCTTTGGTGTCACTGATAAATAACAAAATCCTAGGACAAACGGATCACACCTCTGAGAGAGCTTGAGTTTTCAAACACTCCCTGACAGATTCAACTTGTGTCCTCTCCCACTCTTAGACCTAGCATAATGACCTGATCATTTTTTTCCTCCTTCAAATTATACAATCTTCACCAAAAAAATCTGTCCTCCACAAGTCACAGTTATTGAAAGGAGTGCTTTCTGCCCCTAAGCTTATGCTTGGTTGGAAGGATGATAGAGAGCCAAAACTCAAAATAAACTTTTCCATCATTAGAAAGAGTCTGCTTTCAAGACAAGCTCTGGAACAGTGACCCTAGATTAAGAGCAAATCAGCAGTCAGGATAAGTTTCAAATCACTTTGCGTTTGTCTGTGTATGTGAACAATTTAGCTGTTTTAAGTGAGTTGCTAAGATGAGGTCTAGAGCCTATCTAAAAAGTTTATTTATAGGAAAGGACTATTAAATTAGGGATATTGCTTATTCTATATTGCTTTTTTACTACTACTTAAACATTGTTAACACACTATGGTATGCAAACATACTACAGAAACAAATGTAATTCCTTGTTAAATTTTCAACAACTTCCTTTGAAGCTGTAGTCACCAGAGTAATCTCTGACTTTTCTTTTTCTTGTTCTTATTTTCCTTTACCAAACCGAAGACCAGACTTGAAACCCAAATCAAGTGATCAGGGCAAAAGCAGGTGGTGAATAATCAAATAAAATTGTTGAGCCTGGAGGCCCAGCAATCCAGTTACTGGAGAAAGTCAAGCCCCAAATCTCAAGGTGTCTCCCCTCCCCTATTCGATGAATCAATTTCTTTTTTTTAATCTCTACCAACACTACCCAACCACCCTAAATCAATGTCCTCATCAACTATCACCTGAATTCTTCTAAGAGGCTTCTAACTGGTTTCTCTACATCTAGTCTAATTTCATCTCAATCCCATCCTTCGAGTTTCTAAAGATATCTATTCAAATTAAAAATCAACATTGCTACTCAAAATTGACTCCTCAATGCCTATAGAATAAAACCTAAACTCTTCAATGCAGTATATTTAAGGCCTTCTACCATCTTACCCCAATCTACTAGTCCCAGCCTCATTTCTCACGTCTCCTTGTTTCAAATTTTCTTCTTGAACAACAAATTGCTTGTACTTTCCTACAGTGACTGAAAGGCTTCTCATTTCCATGACTTTGTACATTCTGATTCCTCTACCTGGAAGACCGGTGTATGTTTTTGCTCCTCATGGCTACCAACTGACCCCTCCTCCTACTTGCATCCGCCTAAATTTTACTCATCCTTTAAGGCTCAACTAAATCATTTTCATCTCCACAGAGTATTCCCTAAATCGCCACCTACTCTCAGCTTCTTGCACATATTGACCACCACTGTGCATTTCATTATGTTTATGTGGTTTCTCCCTTACTGAGGATTCATTAAGGGGACCAGTTTTTATTAATCTGTGTAATTCCCAGAATCTTGTACAGTACCTGGCACAGAGCAGACACTCAATAAGTGTTTCTCGACTGAAATAAATCATTTGACGCTTCTCATCCTTACTCTCAACCTAATTACAAGGGTACTTCTCCCATTAAGGTACAGAAACGTCAGACTGACGAATGCATCTAATAAATACCAAAAAGGAAGCCTGCTACCAAAGATTAGACAGGGGGTAAGCTACTCTTCCAGAATGCTCCTTATTTACCCCTATAGTATCAAAAGCCCACCTAATGTTGAGATGATTCAGGGAATGTTGGTGGATACTGGAGCTTGACTGTCAAGATACAAAGGAGGGTCAACAGTCACTTTTTACAAGATATCACTCTTGCTGCTTCTAAACAAAGCAGAGAGGTTTGGCTATTAGTTTACTCAGTCTATTAACATATATTTTACCATTTCTACTTCCAAAAATAATATGAATGCATTTACCACAAAAAACATAAAAGAGGGGCCAGCCTGGTGGCATAGTGGTTAAGCTCACGTGCTCCACTTCAGCTGCCTGGGGTTCACAGGTTCGGATCCCAGGCACAAACCTACATATAACTCATCAAGCCCTGCTGTGGTGGCATCCCACATAAAACAGAGAAAGACTGCCACAGATGTTAGCTCAGCAACAAACTTCCTCAAACAAAAAGAGGAAGATTGGCAACAGATGTTAGCTCAGGGCCAATCTTTAGGAAAAAAAGCCTCTAAGGAAGAAAACTGATTCCACTGAATTTCACTTATAGTTCTATAGAGACAGAGACAGAGATTTTTATGATCTGTGGACATGTAAGCACATCTAAGTTCCTGTCACCCCAGAGCCCCCCACTTCCTACTAGCTGAGGCCTAAACTTCCAAGGGCTATATATTCTTTCCCCTCTTATGTGCAAAGTACTGCTAGCTTAGTTGGTGGGATATTATATACAAGGAAGTCAAACGCCCTCTTTTAAGTTCTCAAAAATTCAGATTTGCATGATAGTGAATTGAATTCAATGCCAGGATAAGCAATTTAACCTACTTAGTAAATCAGTTTCTTTTACTTCAAATCAATTATTTTATTTTATGTCAAACCAAAACAGAGACTTTTTTAATGTAATTTATAACATGGACAAATAAAGTTAAGTTCTTACACTGCCTTTAAATGTGTTTTCCATACGATACTTTAAGTTCTGAAATTTGTTGATTGTATTCTCTTTTTGATCAGTTATATCTATCAAGTCTTGAATTCTTTGATTCTGCATAATTATTTTCTTTGGAAAAAAGAAAAATAGCAATGTTCAGTGAAAATATTTTGGGATAACTAGAATGCAAATATGATGCAATTTTAGAATTCCTTGAAATTTTAAAACTAAGCAAAAATATCACTGGCAACATGCTATGCATAGCGTGATCTTATTTTTAACAAATAATATATGTTTATATATACAAAGGAAAAAGAAGCAATACAGGCTATTGGGTAGAGGAATCTGGAGTCTGGACTGCCTGAGTTTGAATCCTAGCTTCTCTATCTTCTATTTGTGTGACCCTGGACAACTTATTTAATGTCTCTGTAGAAATAGAAAATAACAACAGTATCTACATCATGAAGTTGTTTTGAGATTTAAATGAGTTAATATATGTAAAGCACTTAAAAGAGTACACAGTAAGTGTTCTATAAAAATAAATATATACAAAGTAAAAGTCTAAAAAAGCCAGGAACCAACTTGGGTTTTTTTTTTTTTTTTTAATTTAAGAAGAACATTATGGCTAACTATTTTACAATCTTACATAGTTTAATATAACTCAACTTTTAGAACTAGTATCTACTATTTTTATAACTAGAAAAAAATAAATGAAAACATTAGGAATTGTGTAAATGGTAGCTGTAATGTCTTCTGCTAAGTACATTATTTTGGTTACTTCTTTAAATACCGGATATTAGATAAGATCTTGAATTATTTATATCTGATCATAGCTTAAAATATTCAGCTCTTTAGAAGGATAAACGAAACTTAAAATACGAAGACCCATGCCAGAGAAGGTCAGGAAAAATAGAAGGTTTAGAACCCTAAATTTATTTCACCTTCATGGATACTTGTAATTTCATTTCTAGACCCATCAATGTCAAATCTATCTACAATCATTTGGAGTGACTATCTGATCTGAAGATAAAAGGTGCTAGAGATTTTCAGGATCCCAATGCTGCACATTGCTCAGGCCATTTTCTATATTTTAAAACATTCAGTAATTTCAGACAAAATAAACACCATTTAAACATATCTAATCAATGCTATGCACCTAGTGAAAGAATGAAATAGATCTGTATGTGCTAATGGAGAAGTACCTCCAAGACATCTTTTAAGGAAAGAAAGCAAGACACAGAAATACAATCCGACTTGTGTAAACTTATTAAAAGGTATATGTATATGTGTATGTGTCATGTCTATATATCTATACCTCTTTCTATATATATATATATACATAAATCTTTTCTGGAAGGACTAAAGAAACTTTCTAGCGGCCATCATTGAAAAGAAGTATGAAGGTGAAGGCATTTAAACTTTTCAATTTTTTTACCATGTTCATTTATTACTTTTCATTAATGTACCTTGTCATAATTCATGCTCCTTCAATTACTTATTAAGTCCCTTATCAAGATAAAATAAATCATAAAGTATTACCTTTTTAGATTTCTCAAGCTCTTGAACCAATGAATTTAAGTTCATTTCTGATTCTGAAAAAATAAGAATATTGAAAATAAATACCTAAGCATCTAAAACAATTTATCACTGAATAATCATGAAATATAAGCTGCTATAGTAGACACTTTAACTAGTGTCACATTTAGGAAAAAGGATTTTGACGGGACTAGAAGCACACAGCATTCAGCTACTAATTCTACCACCAAGGGTAGTGTTTCTGAAAAAGCCACTTTCAATGCTCAGGGTAAAAATGATTGACATATCCTAAATAGCAAAAAGCTTATGGTATAACTTCAGAGAAAAGAAGCCAGTACCTTTCTGGTCCACTTCATAATGCAGAGGTACCACTTACCTACTATTTTCTACGCATCTTGTTTCACACAGAAAAGGGCAGAATATTTCATCTAACTCTCTTAAAACCCAGATGTGACAATCATATATCACTCTCAGAGCTAGAATGAAGCACCAATCTAAGAGCCTTCTTAAGATCACTCCACAAAAGTGACTCTATCCCAAACTTGCGAGCCCAGAGCAGAATCTTCCACACTATGAGAGTTCATAAAGAATACAGAAGAACAAAATCTACAGCTTTACAATTTCCTATGAAATTTCTTAATTTGCTGATAAAGCTAATACTTAGTTTGGTTTTGTTTTTTGTTGAGAAGTCCATTTCCTAATACTATTAGTTTAAAAGTAAATGAAAGCAAAAAAAATTTTTAATAGCAAATTACTATAAAGTCATACAAATGGTAAAATATTGAATATGTTACCTAGATCAAAGAATTTTCTGGTCGCTATCCTGCATAAATCTCTTATACTCACCAACTTTCTTTTTATGCATTTATAACATATAAATACGGGTAAAATACATCTACTTACCATTTTCTCTCTTTTTTAACTCTTCCTGGGTTTTGATTAATTCTTCTTTGGTTTTAGCTAATTCAGCTTTAACTTGATTAAACTTTAGTTCTAAACAAGCAATAGCTTCCTGGGGGTCAGCAAGAGATGCAATATATAAGTGAGCAATTTCAGCCTGTTTCTTAATATCAGTGACATCATCTTGAAGAGAATCAATAATATCTTCAATTCCTACATAATTATGCGCTTCCTAAAATAGCAAAAACCACATGCCTAAAGTTAACAGTGGCTTTCACTCTTACCATGGGGTACCATCTGATTTAAACAGTTTTAAAAACACACAGCAAAAAAATTCACCTGAAATTTTTTTAAATAAACTATATCAAAGTATTCCAATTATGAAAAAGTTGTGTTCCATTTGTCATTTTTTGTTTTATGAAACATATACATATTTCCCCATAAAAACAATGTCATAAACTGTGATGTCATTATAGAACAATTATAACTATCTAGGTTCAGGTATACTTTCAGTAATACAACCAGTCCTAAAAGGCTTTGTTGGGACAATCGAGGAAACAAACCTCCATTTTCACAACTCAGATCAAGACCTAAACCATGTCAGGCACACATAATGATGGTTCCACAGCAAGAGTGTGGATATCATCATCCCAGGCCCCGAAATTGAGAAATTTAAAAAACAAAACAAAAACAAACAGCAATCCCAAAAAGATGTGATCAATTTCAGCTTCAGTGAAAGCAGCAGGAAAAGATAATGTTTCCTCAACAAGAGGGAACGGTCAGTCGGCCAGGAAAAGCAATCCTTTTTATAAACGTTTTTGTTTTCATCAGAGCAGTAAGTAGATGACCCCTTAAGTCTCTTATACCTTTAAACTTTAAGACAAATCTGAGAGGGATATCACATAATAAGACAAAACAGAACCTGTCTACCTATAATCAATACAATGACTCAAGCAACACCAAAATGAGATATATATCTAACAGAGAGATAATGTTTTTCAAGTCCCAAAGCTATATTTAAACCATTTGTGCTTACATTCCTAAAAAACCATGCTTCATTATAATAAAGCTAAATAGTAAGTTTTTTTAATTGTAAAGTATATTAATGTTTCTCATCATTGATGTGGAACACTAAATCCTCGTATCCTGGATTTAATATTTCAGTGAACCTACTTCGTGTTCAACTTTCACAGCACAATCTTCATTTGTTGGTGCTTCTTGAGTGTCACATTTACCAACCAAATCCTTGAAGATAGCCAAACGACACTCAGCATTTTCTTCTAATATCTCTCGTTCCTGAAGGAGCGTTTCCCTTCATAATAAAAATTAATTCCATTAAGAAACAGAAAAAGCACTATTTTATGTTTTATTAAGTATATTATAAACTAAAAGGAGATTTAAATAATCATTCACGTATAATTCAGAATCCAGAGGGATTAGTAATAGCTATTTTCAAGACTGTATAAAGTGGTCAGAATTCAGAGGCCATCTAATATAAAATAAGTAAATAAAAAAATTAAACAAGTAAATAAAAGTCTCAATTTTTATCAGGACATGAAAGAAATAACTTACTTAAAGTCAGCTTCCCGCTGAGCGAAATATTGAGTACATTCCTGTGTAACTTCTTCACGAATTTTAAATTCCAATGTTAACTTTTCTTTTCTTTCATTTATCAGTTTTCTTTTCAAGTCTTCTATTAAATTCAACAGTTTCTAAAACATATAAATATTAAAATTCTAATAAAAGAATATATCCCAAGAGAAATACTATGTGAATCTTCAAAAATAAAACTTTTCATTTAGTCGATTATAATTATGTATCCTTTTAATAGCAATAATATTCTCACTGAAAATTATGTATTTACAGAGATTCATTAATCTGAAAAATCATTAAATTTTAGAAAGACTCATAGTAACTCAAATGTCTCACTATTTAGCTACACTAAGAAAAGAAGGAAAAGAAAATGTGAGCATCTATTATCCACCAGGAACTACTCTGGGGGGTTCATACTTGATTTCATTCAATCCACACAACCTTCTGTGAGCTTGGTAGCAGCATCCATATTCTGTAGGTGGGGAAAGTAAGGACCAGGTCTGTGGTAAATGCTTAAGGCTGAATTTTAAATTAGTCTGTGAAAATCTAAAGCCTAAGTGTTATATAGAGTAATTACTAAGAACCCCCAAACACTTTTCAAAATGGCAAAGAGAGGTGTTACATAAACTTATCTTCTTGGACTTTTCTAACAATCCAAATGTGAGCAACAACTATAGCCTTTGAAAACACATAATCATGTAATATGGACAATGAATAAACAAAGCAATTAACACTTGATATGGCCAGTATAGATTCATAATAAAATAAATTCTGGCATTAAGAAAACAACCTGATATTCTAAGCTTTCTGATTAAAGTTTCTCAACGATAAATCAACCAACCTTCTCAAAGCTACAGATCTTTCAATGTCTCAATTTTATATTTGAAAATATTTCTATAGCTATCCTAACTTTGAAATTCCACTTCTAAGAACTTACACTGAGGAAATAATTATATAATAGGACCCAGTGTTTTGACTCTAAGAATGGTTATCACAGCGTTGTTGTTTTCTGGTAGTGGCTATATTTAAACAAAGAAAAAGTGAAACTCAACTCAAGAGTCAAACATAAGAGATTGGTTCAATTATGGATCCGTCATACAGTAAACTACTGTAACGAATAATGATGACATAGTAACAATTCACACTTTTCACAACTTATTTTTAAATGAAGAAAACCAGTAATGTATAGTAAAATCCATTAACAATAGTGGCAGATTAGAGAGATCTTTATATCTGTTTTCCTCTTTTTCTTTTTCCACACTCCACCATGATTATATAATACTTTTATATTTTTAAACAATCACACTTTCCCACTGTTTAAAATAATATAGTAACTACTGAAGGAGAAATGTGGGAGACTTAAGAGAATTCTGCGTGAATGTGGGACTACCTTGGGATTTTGGTTTATTTTAATAATGCTCAACAATTAGTTTTCTATCATTGTTAGCATCTGATAAAGTCTTTGATTAAAAAAATTCTACTTGATTATTCTAGTTAAATAACTGTAAGTTTATATACACTAATATCAATATATTTCATACTGCTTTTTAATACTCTCAGTCCTCCAATTAAAATGCTAATATGAAGCATGCAAAGCCTAATCATTTCATTTTTAAGTTAAATATTAGAAGAAACTCTGATGAAATTTTTATTTTAAAGTACCTAGTCAATGTCATAAGATACGCATTTACACTATGTAATATAATATAAACTATAGTATTACTTTTCCCTAGTAAATTCAGAAATTTTACTAACATTTCAAGTTTAATCAATAGCACATATAAACTTCAGCTTTGAGAAGATCAGCAGAAATTAAAATAGGACTATTAATAGATTCTTTTGTCACCGAGGGAAGTACTACACTATAGAGGCCCAAAGTAAACAAGATCCAATCACAGAATGACCAGATAAACAAGGACTAGTAGCATCTGGAACTTTCATTCTCATTTCCAAACAACATGGGTGCAATGATGGCCTTCAGGGACTGTGAAGTAAATTATTAAAATGAGAATATTTAACTCAATACATCATCCATCTACTTGGACTTCTATAGGGCATAAGAGTACTATGATGTGAGATGTGTCAAGACTAAAGTACATCCATGAGCACAAGGTTAACCACATGCTTGGAACACTGGTAAGAAGACTCCATGTAGACATATGTAGTCATGGCCAGTTAACGAGGGGAACTGGTATTGCGGGCATGATCTAGATTTCAAGATCAATACAACGTAAATATATGTGTGAACTGTATTTGGGCAGAGGCTATAAGATTTAACCAGTGTAAAATCTTATTTACCATAACAAATAAGATGACCAAGCAATTCCTGTTTTTCAAGAAACAGAATAATTGGTACTGGATAGACATTTTGAGTAGTTGTACTTAAGACTGTAAAGTAAACATCTGGTGGAGTATGATAAAATCATTCAGTGAAAGGATACTGAGGAACAAGACATTCACATGGTCGCAAAGTTATCCCACAGATGATATGCCTTTACATTGAAGAGAGATCTGAAAGACAACACCTTAGCTAAGTGAGCAAAACTTAGCATCACCAAGAAAGGGGAAATAAGACATCAATGTGTCTCCTGAAGTGATACAATGGGAAATTCACACCTCCATCCATATAATAGGATTACCTAAAGTGTTAAATGTGAACTGTGAGGAAATAATCAAACAAAACCAGACTGGGGGTATTCTACAAGACAACTAGCCTCAACTTTTCAAAATATCTATTCTACATTAGAGATAACTAAAGAAACATGGCAATCAGAAGCAACATGTTAATTCTGGTTGTAGACCAAAAACAAAGTGGCTATGAAGGACATATTGGGACCACCAGAGAAATCTCAATATGGACAGTATAATAGATTATAATATTCTATCAACATTAAATGGCTTAGATATGAAAATGGTCTTGTGATCATGAGGAAAATGCCCACATTCTTAGGAAATATATGCTAAAGTAGTTAGTTGTAAGATGTCGTTATGTCTGCATCTTGTTTTCAAATGGACAGGCAAGAAGAGGTGTATTTAGATACTCATAGCGAATTAAAGTAAATACGGTAAAACATTAACAACTGGCAAATACAGGTGAAGTATAAATGGGTGTTCATTGTACTACTCTTTCTGTAGGTTTGAAATTTTTCAAAATACAAAGTTGAGATATAAAAAACTAAGTATATCGTTGAAAAAAATAGAGAAGGCCTTAAGAATTGTTAACCCTAACTTCAGTATAATAACAAACCAAGATTAGAAGTATGAGTTCTTAATACATACTCTCTTCTCGTAGCCAATGCAAGCCTTATCTTCCTCTAATGTTTTATCTAGATGTTCATCAGTAAGTTCAGTTTCCATATTTTGGTTTTCTTCAGCTTCTTCGACATCCTCAACCAAATCTTCATCTTCCACCAGATCTTCTAGACTACTTTCCCAGGAAATTGTGGCTCTTTTCACATTTAATATTTTATTATCTGTATTATTAATGTCTAGTGATGTATCTTGTGAAGACTTGACAGGTCCAAAGGATTTCTCTTGAGAGGAATTTAAAGTATCTGGAACACAAACCTGTTAAAATATCCAATGTAGTTTTTAAAACAGGAAAGGCAACAACTGTCCACTAAAAAATAATTTTATAAATTTAGATCAAATGACAACTCAAGTGTTTTTTAAAAACTTCTATACAAACAAACATACAGGAAGGAATTAGCATCCTTAAATGAACATTCTGGTAAGAAAAAAGCCCGTATACTACAGGTAAATTTACTTTCCTGGGTTAAGTTCTTGGTACTATTCCTAAGAGGGGATATCCTGATTAGCCACTAAATGACCCAGATGGATGGCAGCACAGACAATTTGTTGCAACAATACTTGTAATCTGTAACAGGTATTTATTATTAACTCTTGACATCAATTTAATCCTAGCAGGGGTAACTTTCAATCTTTTCCCATGTCCTCCTACTTGGTCAAATACTTACATTTTTAATTTTCAATTATTTCCTAGATTTACAGTTATAAGAGCAAAATGAATTATTTACTCTAAGAAAAAGTTGTTAATAGTCTAGTAATAAGAGGCTTAATGAATATATTTACTTTTTGTGCAATGGCTGAGAACTTCAAGACATTCAGTGTCTCATCATAGGCAAAACAACACTGGCTGATGTTGACAATCATACATATTTTCCCTTTACCATTAAAAAAACTTTGAAAATAGTGGGTCAGTTTACTTTCCCGGAAAGGCACATGCTGTTGAAACCTACGGAAAAAGTTTAAGTTAAAACAAATCTGATTAAGTCAGAATGCTGATAAATTTTACAAAGAAATATTTAATCTAGCTATCATGAACTTAAATTCTAGATTAGTGATTAGTTCCACCTGAAATAGTCATTTTTCTGTTTATGTTGTTTTCTTTAAATACTACTAATAATAATAACCCATGAGGCAAAATATAAAGAAAATCACATTGAACTGGGTTGTGTTCTCTAGCGTAAAGCAATTATACAATATATGCCATGAAACACTAACTAGAAATAATGAAGGCTGATTTATAATTTACTCAGCCTAAAATGCTAATTAATACAGAAATGTATCACATGTAGAAGAACACAATACATTACTGAGAATAAAGTGCTTTTCAGATGCTAAACCAGCATCATGAGAAATTTATTATCTACAGTGTCTGTTGATATCTATTTGCTATGGAAAATACTGTGCTTACTTGACAAGTCACTGGCATCAGCTGACACTGTTTTTTATTTCTATCATTTTTTTAATCCAAGATCTCTAACTATTTAATCGTAATCTACACAGTCATAATATAAGCAGGTTAAAAACAAATAAGAACTTTCCTAAACTAGCAAAGTTGAAAGTTTAAATATTTTAATACTTAATATATTAATAACACTTTCAGCAACACTTACTTTGACTTTTCACTGTTCTTCAAAACATTAATACACTTTCCCAGAGTCAGTAAAGAAGTATTGATGTTTCCAGTCTCTCTCAACCTTTCACCTTCATTCTGTGTCTTCATGCTTCGTTCTGAACCAGCAAGATCACATAAAGACAATCTGAATTTACCAAAAATAAAAAAATAAAAACTTTAAAAGTTCTTCAAAACAAAATAATTCAAAGTAATTACAATTTAAGGAATGTTCAACTTACTCACTGACTCGCATTACACGAGGCATTTCAGAATCTTCAATCTGTAATATTCTAATAGTGAATATGCTGTGACTAAAAGAAATATACAAAGATCAAATGTTATCTTTCATTTTTATTTTCTGCATTCTAAATACAAGAGGCAAGCATCTAAATCAGTATCTATTTACACGCTAATACAGCACTGCATTTTCCAACTAGCTGCCAGATATTTCAGTCCAGTGTTCCACTCTCACCTACATACCCAACTACCTAAAACCAAATACCTTATCTTTCCCTTAGCCCCAAATCCCTTGAATCTATTCCTTCTCTTAAAATTCCAACTTCTACTAATACAATCACTTTAATAATAAAGTCTCAAATTGCTTACAAAGATCATATTATTAGTTAAAATAGTATTATATCCAGCTACTCTTCTTTGAATATATACCTAAAGCAAAGAACACACTTGGCGTAAATAGAGGCTTATCTGGATCATATATTATCCTCATGCCTTACAGAGTATGCAGGACAGGGCTCTTTCTCATTAAGAGAGAACCTGTTTTAATATCTCACTGCTTAAATTTATTTCCTTTTGTCTTTCATCCTCCAATCCCTTTCATCAAAAACATCCTTCCTTAACCCCTTGAGATTTTGTCATAACTCAGTATGCATGTAGTGTCTGTGCTCATGGGGTAAGTGGGAGACACAAAGGGAAAAGTTCACCATTATAGGCAACTCTGAAAATATAGAGCTTATATATTCACATAAAACTTGCAAAAAGACCTCAGAGACTTCATGCAAATTAGTAAATCTTACATTAGAACAAGAAATAGTCCTGACAATCTCATGTGTTCAGTGTTCTTCAGTTTACAGAATGTTTTTATGCCTATGAATTCATTGAACATATCAGAGAAGCTATTGCCCACTTTAATCTTAAATTATTTATATTTAAATAAGCACAAAATACCCTGGGTGCTTCAGGCTCACACCATAGAGTTACTCCTTACCTTCTACTCGAAGCATTGTTCAGTTTTGTGAAGGCAACACTCTGGTGCTTTATTCCTAGTTTTAAAAGTCTATACGCTTCTTTGGAATCAGATACTTGAACCCATTGTAAATCTTTAAAAAATAAAGAGGACAAATAGCAATTTATAAAAACACAGCATTTGTTGTGTAATGTAATCTCTTTGAAGATTTGTTATCTCTTTTCCCAAAAACACATAATGAATCTTTCTTTTAATAACATGCCCTAGGTGGAGTCAATTCAACTATTCCATACTCCACTAGAAAAGAGGTACACACAAGGATATTATAATGATTTTCCAGTACTTAAGTTGTATACAAACACACAAAGTAAGTATTCTTCAAGAGTCTACCAAAGGGAAAATTAAAAATAGGTAAGATTCCTTAGAACTAGACATGCAGGAAAAAAAAAAGACAAAATACAGTACAGATTTAACGTACAAAATTACCTAGCCGTGAGACATTACAGATTACAATTCATTAGTGAATCATGAAATCAAATTCATTGAGTCACAACCAGCACTTTGTAGAGTACAGAAAACATGAATGTGCATTCCTTATAGTAAAGTTGAGTACAATTAATGAAACTTTGAGTTGTAAACACATACACATATACAGATGCAGACACTGGGTCATAATGTTAATACATGTATGTTATTAATCATGTATGTATTTCCTACTGTGAGTAGCAGTTTTAAAAGGTTGGAAAACACCACTGTGGATGAAACAGAAACATTTTCATAGCTCCAAAGTTTGGACACTTACGAACCAGCAGAATAATGTAAATATTAACACACAGCATTCCCATCCCCAAAACCCAATCAGTGATACTCAAGCAAACACAATATTAAACTAGACCCCTAAGACATACTTCCAAAGCACAAACTTCTCTTACGATCTTGATGTTAATAATTAATATAAATATAAATATAACATAATATAATCTAAATATAAAACTTTTAAAATTTCCAGTTTGTCTTCCTATAGCTTTAACAAAGCCTAGAAAAGAACTTCAGAACAATAAAATAGAAAATACTCATTAGTATACCTTTTATAAAAGAATAGCCCTTTATATCTTGGGAAAGGCGTAGTATCTTTCTCTTTTGGAACTTAGATGATACAGGAACAAACAAGTCATAAATACATTCGTTGTAAATCTCAAAGAAAGAAACCCACACAGAAAACTTTATATTATTTTCCATATTCAAGCTAGCTTGTTCACAATCTTTCATGGATTCTTCAAAATCTGGGATATTCAAAGAATTTGTTAAACTTCCTACAAAAAATAAAAGAGGATCATCACAAAATTAAGCATTTGACTAAAAATGAGACAATAGGACAGACAAGATTACTGGACTTGAAAAACTAAGTATCCTTAATCTTTTGACCAGAAATGTGAAATATTTTCTTGCATCCACACAGATGTAAACAAGATTTGTATTAACCAAGGTTTGGCTTCTTTCTTTTCTTTTTGAAAGTACGCTGATGAACCAAATTGAAAGTAAATGTAAAGGACAGAAAAACTACTGTCTCTTGAATTCAACATGAAAAGTTACAACCAGTGAAAGAGATATCTGTGATATTAAATCCAAATAAAACCTTACAGTGACTGACATTTCATATAGTTATGTACCATTTACCAAGTATTACTATGTCATTAAAGAAATTAAACACTAGGAGTGATTCAAAAATTAAAAGCTTTTCATTGTATTTCATATAATCAACACTTTAAAGCTAAGTGAGAAAGGAAACCTTACCATAAAGAGTATCATCACTGTCATTATGTATAACAACCTAAAAAAGAAAGATGTTTTTAATCTTTATATCTCTAATAAAAATCTTTAATCTTTAATAAAAGCCATTGTTAAATAACCACTATATTAATTATCTATCCAAAAAGTCACCAACCAAACCACAACCTTTCATCTACTCAATTCAATGACCTCGTCTATTAATTTTTTTACTAGTTAAATAATACATTCACATAATAGGAAATTTTGGAAACTACAGAAGAGTATCAAAAAGAATATCATCATGGGGCTGGCCCCGTGGCCGAGTGGTTAAGTTCGCGTGCTCCGCTGCAGGCGGCCCAGTGTTTCGTTGGTTCGAATCCTGGGCGCGGACATGGCACTGCTCATCAAACCATGCTGAGGCAGTGTCCCACATGCCACAACTAGAAGGACCCACAACGAAGAATATACAACTATGTACTGGGGGGCTTTGGGGAGAAAAAGGAAAAAATAAAATCTTAAAACCAAAAAAAAAAAAAAGGGGGCTGGCCCCGTGGCCGAGTGGTTAAGTTCGCGCGCTCCGCTGCAGGCGTCCCAGTGTTTCGTTGGTTCGAATCCTGGGCGCGGACATGGCACTGCTCGTCAGACCACGCTGAGGCAGCGTCCCACATACCACAACTAGAAGAACCCACAACGAGAAATATACAACTATGTACTGGGGGGCTTTGGGGAGAAAAAGGAAAAAATAAAATCTTTAAAAAAAAAAAAAGAATATCATCATATATAATCCCTGTCACTCAAGAGGCAATTACTATTAATATTTCAATATATTCCTTTCTATTCCTTTCCCCACACTTATTATACTGTAAGTTTTTTCTTTCTATAATTAAAAATTACTTGTAAACATTTGGTGGCTGCATAATTTAATAGTTGTGAAATGACAATTATTTCTCTATTCTGTACATTTATATTACGAAGTTTTGTTGGTACATACTACGATAAACAATATATTATTTTTTGTTCTGCATTCTAATTATTTCCTTAGGATGTATACCTAAACCTGAATTGGGAGATGAAAACATACAAAAATATTTTAAGTTCTTATTCTTAATATAGTATTACCAAATTGCTTTCTAGAAACATATTCTGTAAACAATGTATGAAAATGTGTATTTTTTTAACATTTTAATAATTTCACAGGCAAAATAATATTTTATTTTAACTGCATAACTTGTTAGGAAAAATGTTTTTCATTAATGACTTTAATTTCCTCTATGAATTATCTAAGCAATTATCCACCGATCTCCATAATTTTTGTTTAAAACACTCTTTTACTTTCAGAGATCATATCATGGACTCTGAACTTTGAACTCCACTAAGTAACAACTTTTTATTACCTTGAAACACTGATTTCTAAATGTCTTAAAGAAAGAAACCTCATTGATATTTTGAAAATACTTAAAAAGCTGTTAATAGCTTTTAACAACCTTGACTAGGATAGATGCCTGAAAACATAACACAAAATGGAGAAGGCACAAGAGGAATAAATAGACAAGTATAACTTTATAAAAGCAATTTTTCATGAAAAACTAATAAAAAAAGAAAGTAAGAAAGGAAGTAAACATATAATCTAACAGATAACAGACGTGTATTAAGGTAGTAAGTGATTTAATATATGTCAAATGAAAGAGCAAGTTACAGAACATAGGTATATTAAAATCTCATTTAAAAAAAGGCTATATCCTGGGGCTGGCCCCGTGGCCGAGTGGTTAAGTCCGCGCGCTCCGCTGCAGGCAGCCCAGTGTTTCGTTGGTTCGAATCCTGGGCGCGGACATGACACTGCTCATCAAACCATGCTGAGGCAGCGTCCCACATGCCACAACTAGAAGGACCCACAACGAAGAATATACAACTATGTACCGGGAGGCTTTGGGGAGAAAAAGGAAAAAATAAAATCTTTAAAAAAAAAAGCTATATCCTACACAAAGAAAAAGATATGAATACACATGCAACTATATACGACTGCGTTTGTGTGTGTATATACAGACACATACAGAAAACTCTGTATACAGATTTTGTAGAGAAAAAGATTAAAAAGAATACTTTCCAATCTGTTTATGGTGGTTTTCTCTTTAGGAATGGAATTATAAGAAATTTTCACTTTTTATTTTTCACATTCCCCTGTTTAGTGTCTGTGTATACATATTACTTTTATAATTAAAAAAAGAATTTTTAAGAATCATTACATAGAAAATACAATGTTGCTTCTACAACAACAAAAAGATTTCAGAACCATTTACATTTGTGCTATTTGAACATTTCTGCTATTTGTACAATATAAAATGTCTTCAAACAATTTTTTTTTTTGGCACCTGAGCTAACATCTGTTGCCAATCTTTTTTTTTTCTTCTTCGTCTTCTTCCCAAAGCCCACCAGTACATAGTTGTATATTCTCGTTGTAGGTACCTCCGGTTGTGCTCTGTGGGACCCCGCCCCAGCATGGCCTGACAAGTGGTGCTAGGTCCACACCCAGGACCCGAACCAGCAAAATCCCGGGCTACTGAAGTGGAGTGCATGAACTTAAACCACTCAGCCACGGGGCCAGCCCCTTCAAACAAGCTTTTAATACTTTTCTCAAAAAGAAAAGTCAACCACCACAACCACAAAACATTCCAATATAGGCTGAAACAAACTGAAGAGCTTATAAAAGGTCAAGATTTATATGTATTTTACATACTAAAATACTTCCATACCTCTTTAATTTGCCGAAGCAATGCACTTTTGCTAGCAACTTCTTCTTTCTCTTGGTCTGGTGATAACCGTAAGTATTCTCTGGACCTATGTGGTTTAAGGTTCACCTTTGTATACAGTCTTTCCCGAAGACTATCAAATAATACATTCAAAGTTCGAGGCAGAATGCCAATATTTTCTTCTGTGCCTGTGAAAAGAATTCTTGTTTTTACTCTCTTGGAATATTAGGAAAGCGGAAACACTCCTGGACTACCAAGGCTCCTTCTATATCACCAATGGACAACAGGAAGCAGCTAAGACAAAGTGAGAGAAGCTGAAGGATTACTCAGTCTTCCATCACTTTGGTCTTTACCCTATAATCGACATTTTACCAACTATTATTATGAGGCAAAACCTGAAATTTTACATTCAGATCAGGCCATAAGACGTGCAATCACTCATAATCACGAAGTATAAAAGTAAAATGAAATAAGTGTTTCCCTGGATACCCATGCTTAATTCACCATGTCACATCAATAGTTATTCTGAACTTTCATTGTCATCTAATTCTCTATCACATGGGTAAAGTAGTTTCACAAATTAATTAAATCGATCTGAATTAAAAGCCATTGGCAATACACATCCAATATGCTACTACTACAAAAAATGGAGCTAATGTACTAGGTAATGGAAACATACCTACATGCAAGTATTATGAAAATGAGTGAATATTAGTGCTTTTTTTCCTTTCCAGCAAAAATAAAACAATTTACCTTGAAATGTGTAAGTTTTTCCTGAATTGGTTAGCCCATAAGTAAAAATCAGCCGACTCTGTCCTTTCAAGAGGTCTTTCACTGGTTGCATAATGCAACCCTGGAAGAATTCCTTCTGTGTAGTTTTCGGGCCAAACACCTAAATTAGAATTTTTTTAAAACAAGTTTTTTAGAAAACTCAAGTTAACACTGACAATGAGTTCTACCCTCTCTCTCATGTTTTAAAAATTAAAAAGATTTGTTTTCTAAGATTCATTCTTAAAATAGGAACCATATCCCCAACCCCCACAAAAGCGTAACTACTGAGTTTTCAAAACAGAAATCTGACCCAGCCAATCAAGTTTTCATCGAAATTTTGAAAAGAACATTTCTAAAAAGAAGGATTTTAAGAACTATACAGTGATCTATTTACCTCCAATTATATATTTACAGACCTGAAATTTGAGTCCTACCCTTAAGAAAAAAATACACACGCCAAAGATCTAAGTTCCCTAAGTGCAAGATATACATATAGTTCATTATTATACAATTATGTAGAAATTTAGCCTAAGCCAAGTCTCTTTCACTTAAAAGAAAAATCTTCAGTTTCACATGGTTACTTACCTTGGAAAAGGTGAATTTCTGTGCCATCTGCCCAGAGCTTTTCTCACTTAACCGACCAAGGACGCTTTGAGGATCTTTCAGCAAAACAGTGTGTGAGTCCAGAATATACACACAGCCCTAGAGCACATAAATCAATAAATAAAATAAACCCACAACAAATAAATAAAAACAGTAGTATTTTATCCATTTAATGAAAGTAGAATATTTAATTCCAATTAAATTCAACACAAACCTCAGATTCATGTTCTTTTTCTGACTGTGTGAAGGGTCTTATTCGAAGACAAACCTGGAGATAATCTTTGGATTCCAAACTGTTTGCCTTAAAAAAGAGTACAAAATAACTGTATTTAAAAAATACAAAATGCAGTTTTTCAGAGATCGTCTGTGTTTAAAGTGGCTGATTGTTACATAATCTGAGACTACGCAGAACCTCTAAGCAAACAGTCTTCTGTTTTTAACCTTTTTGTGCTTAAAGAAAAGCAAACCTGTTTCTGAAAAAAAAAAATACATCACAAAAGATTTAATTTCCTCCACCTTCTACATTTATACTTTAAGTTTTTAATAAGCCTTTTTCTCATAAAATCCTAACCTTTAAAACTAATAAAAATAACAGGGCTCTAAGTCACTAAAAACATAGAACTCTAGAATAAATCACAAATAACAAGAATAGTCTATTAATCCAAATGTCCAATTCCACCAAACAGTTAGAATTTTTTTGCTGCTTCCTTTGGGGAAGAAATGAGCTTAGTTCATTTTAGAAAATAATTTTAAAGAAATGTTTTAATTTTTTTTAAAAAGGAAAAAGGAAGACACAAGAAGTAGAAAAATCTGAATAATCCTATGTCTATTATAGAAATTCAATTTACATTCAAACAAATAATCCCACAAAAAAACTCCGAGCCCCAGTAATTCATTGGTATATTCTCTCAAACATTAGGATATAATCATATAAATTGTAGATAAACTCTTTAAGAAAGAGAATACTTCTCAACTAATTTTGAGTTTGACATAATCCTAACAACAATCTGACAGAGATATCTTCAGGAAAAAAATTACATAACAATATCCCTAATTAAGATAGATGCAAAAAGGGGGCCAGCCCCATGGCTGAGTGGTTAAGTTCGCATGCTCCACTTCAGCAGCCCAGGGTTCACCAGTTCAGGTCCTGGGCGCAGACCAATACACCGCTCATGAAGCCATGCTGTGGTGACATCCCACAAAGAAGAACTAGAATGACCTACAACTAGGATATACAACTATGCACTGGGGCTTTGGGGAGGAAAAAAAAATACAAAGAGGAAGATTGGCAACAGACGTTAGCTCAAAGCCAATCTTCCTCACCAAAAAGAAAAAAGATAGATGCAAAAATTCCCTAACAAAATATTACCCAATATATAAAATAGGTAGTACATCATGACCAAAAAAGGTTTATCCCAGGAGTGCAAGGTCAATTTGACATTCAAAAATCAATTAGGGTAACTAACCACATTAAAAGAATAAATGAAAAGAAAGTTTTATCTCTAATAGATGTAAAAAAAGCATTTGAATGATGATATGAATTGACATATGTATTCAAGATCCATTCATAAGAATTCTTGGCAAACTGGATTAAAAGGGAACTTCCTTAATCTGATAAAGGGCATTTACAAAAAACCTATAGCTAACATCATACTTAATGGTGAAAGGGTAAATCTAAGATGAGTAACAAGACAGGAATTTCTACTCTCACTACTTCTGCTTTATACTAGAGGTTCCAGACAATGTAATCAGGCAAAAAAAAAAAAAAGAAAAGAAAGGAAATAAAAGTTATCCCAATTGGGAAGAAATAAAACTGTCTTTATTCACAGATAACATGAACATCCACATAAAAAAATCCAACAAAATCTACAAAAAGTTACTAGAACTATTAAATGAGTTTAGCAATGTAGCATGATACAAGATCAATATGCAAAACCAACTGTTTTTCTATATACTGGGAAGAAACAGAAATTGATTTTACACAGCAATACCATTTGCAATTGCATCAAAAATTATGAAATACCTAGGGATAAATCTTACATAAGATGTAAAAGACCAATACACTAATAACTACAAAACGTTGCTCAGAGAAATTAGAGGAGTTCAAAATAAATGGAGACACACGTTGTTCATCATTCAATAGACTCAATATTGTTAAAACGTCAATTCTTCTGAAACTGATCTACACATTCAATGAAGTTGCAATCAAAATCCCAGGCTTTTTTTGTAGCAATTGACAAGCTCATTTAAAATTTCACATAGAAATGCAAAGTACCTAGAATAGTCAAAACAAGTCTAAAAAGAGAAGAAATTTGGTGGACTAACACTACCTGATTTCAACACTTATTTTAAAGCTACAGTAATCAAAACAGTGCAGGAAAACAAATAGATCAATAAAACAGAATAGAATATTCAGAAATAAATCCTTATATACAAGGACATTTGATTTACGACAAAGGTGCAAAGGAAATGCAGCACAAAAAGATAGCTTTTTCAACAAATTGTGCTAGAAAAATTGGATATCTACATATAAAAAAATAAGAATTTGGATACACATCTCACATTGTACATAAAAATTATTTCAAAATGAATCATAGACCTAAACATAAAACTAAAACTATAAAACTTCTAAAAGAAAACACAGAATAAAATCATTGTGGCAAAGATTTGAGTTAGGAAAAGATTTCTTAGATATGACATCAAAAGCACAATCCATAATAGAACAAATTGATAAAACGGGTTTCATCAAAATTAAAAACTTCTCTTCAATAAACACTGCTAGGGGATAAAAAGACAAGCCACAGACTGGGAGAAAATATTTGCAAAGGATATAGCTGATATGTATCTGGAAAATACTATAAAGAACACTTAATAATAAGAAAACGACTCAATTTTTTTAAATGAGCAAAAGATTTAAATCAACATTTTACCAAAGAAGATACACAAATGGCAAATATGCACATGAAAACATATTCAACATTTTTAGTTGTTAGGTAAACAAAAATACCAATTAGATACCAATACATACCTATTAAAATGGCTAAAATAAAGAAACTACTCAGAGGCTGGCCTAGTGGTATAGTGGTTAAGTTCGTGCGCTCCACTTTGGGGACCCAGAGTTCACCAGTTCAGATCCCGGGCGCAGACCTATGCACCACTTACCAAGCCATGCTGTGGCAGGCATCCCACATATAAAGTAGACGAAGATAGGCACAGATGTTAGGTCAGGGCCAATCTTCCTTAGCAAAAAAGAGAAGGATTGGTGGCAGATGTTAGCTCACAGCTAATCTTCCTCAAAACAAAAGAAACTACTCAGAATAGCCAATATAAAATTGAAAGAGAAGAACAAAGCTGGAGGACTGACAACATCTGACTTCAAGACAGACTATAAAGCTACAGTAATCAAGACAGTGTAGTTTTGGCAAAAGAAAAAAATCAATCAATAGAACAACACAGAGAGTCTAAAAATGGATCCACATGAATACAGTCAACTGATCTTTGACAAAGAAGCAAAGGCAATACAATGGAACAAAGACAGTCTTTTCAACAAATGGTGCTGGAACAACGGGACATCCACATGCAAAAAAATTCACCTAGACACAGTCTTTACATCCTTCACAGAAATTAACTCAAAATGGATACAAATCTAAATGTAAAACACAAAACTATTAAAGGCCTAGAAATCCTACATGACCCTTGGCTTGGTAATGACTTTTTAGATTCAACACAAAAGGCACGATCCATTAAGAAATAACGGACAAGCTGGATCTCCTTAAAATCAAAAATTTCCGCTCTGTGAAAGACACTGCCAAGAGAACGAAAAGACAAGCCATAAACTTGGAGAAAATATGTCCGAAAGATCTGTCAAATAAAGGAGTTTTATCCAAAATATACAAAGAACTCCTAAAACTCAACAATAAGAACACAAACAACCTGATTAAAAAATGGGCCAAAGATCGTAACAGGCACCTCACCAAAGAAGATAAACAGATGGCAAATAAGCATATGAAAAGATGTTCCACATCATACATCATCAGGGAAATGCAAATTAAAACAACAGTGAGATACCGCTATACACATATAAGAATGGCCAAAATCTGGAACACTGACAACACCAAATGCTGATGAGGACATAGAGCAATAGGAACTCTCATTCACTGATGTTGGGAATGCAAAATGGTACAACCACTTTGGAAGACAGTTTAGCAGTTCCTTACAAAACTAAACATAATCTTGCCGTGTGATCCAGCAATTGTGTTCCTTGGTATTTACCCAAAAAAAGTGAAAAGCTATGTCCACACAAAAACCTGCATATAGATGTTTACTGAAGCTTTATTCACAATTGCCAAAACTTCTAACAAGCAGATGTCCTTCAGTAGGTGAATGGATAAATAAACTGAGGTACATCCACCAATGGAATACTATTCAGTACTAAAAAGAAATGAGCTATCAAGCTATGAAAAGACATGGAAGGAAACTTACATGCATATTACTAAGTGAAAGAAGCCAATCTGAAAAGGCTATATACTGTATGATTCTAACAATATGATGTTCTGGAAAACGCAAAACTATGGAGACAGTTAAAAAATCAGTGGTTGGTGGGGTGAGGAAGGGATGAACACGCAGACCACAGAGGACTTGTAGGCAGTGAAAATACTCTGTACAATCTCATAATGGTGGATACATGTCATTATACATTTGTCCAAACTTGTAGAAGGTACAACATGAAGAGTGAAATTATGTAAACGATGGACTCTGGGTGACAATGATGTGTCAATGCAGGTTCATCAACTGTTACAAATGTACCACTCTGATGGAGGATGCTGATAATGGGGGAAGCTATGTATGTGAGGCAGCAGAGGGTATATGAGAAATCTCTGTACGTTCTGCTCGATTTTGCTGTGAAAATAAAACCGCTCTAAAAAATACAGTCTATTTTAAAATAAATAAATAAATAAAAGGATTGACTATACCAAGTGTTGGTGAGGAGGTAGAGGAAGGAAGAACTCTCATATACTGCTGCTGGAAATGTAAAATGATATTATCACTTTGGAAAAGTTTGGTAGTTTCTTAAAAATGATCCCGCCATTCTATCCCTGGGTATCCAAGAAAAAAAGGAAATATATGTCGATAAAAAGATCTGTACACAAATGTTCCTAGAAGCTTTGTTTGTAATGGCCAAAAACTGTGAGCACAAACGTCCATCAGCAAGTGAATGGATAAACAAATTGCAGCATATCCAAACAATGAACAATAAAAAGGAATGATTTATGGATGCACACAACATGCATGAAACTCAAAATAATTACGAGTGAATGAACCAGATCCCCTCACCAAAAAAAAGAGTATATACTTTATGATTCCACTTATATAAAGTTCTAGAAAGTGCAAACTAATGTATACTGAGAGAACCCTGAGCAGTGGTTACCTGGAAGTGTAATGGGAAGGAGGGATTACAAGGAGGCACAAGAAAACTTTCAGCGGTGATAGAGATATTCACTATCTTGATTAGAGCAACGGTCTCATGAGCATATGCATATGTTAAAACTTGTCAAACTCTATACTTCAAACGTGCAGTTTATTGCACGACAAAGCTGTTAAAAATATAACTTACAACAGCATCAAATACCATGAAATGTCTACAAACATACTTAACAAAAGATACAAAAGACCTCTACACTAAGTACAAAACATTGCTAAGACTTCAGAGACCTAAATAAATGGAGAAATAGACTGTGCTCATGGATTAAAACACTCAATATTATCAAAATGACAATTCTTTCAAATTAATTTATAGATTCAATGCAATCCCAGTCAAAAATCGCAACAGGCTGTTTTGTAGAAACTGGTTAAGTCAATTCTCTTAAGAATATGCAAAAAACCTAGAAGACCCAAAATATTCCTAAAAAAGAAAAGCAAAGCTGGAGAATTCACACTATCTGATTTCAAGAATTTTAGCTACAAAAACAGATAGTGAAGTATAGGCATTAAGGATACACAAAAAGCTCAAGGGAAGAGAATAATCCAGAAATAGACCCACACATAGATATACAGTCATGTGATTGTCAACAAAGGTACCAAAATAATTTAATGGGGAAAGAAAGCCTTTTCAACACATAATGCTGAAGTGATTAGATATGGAGTTCTCAAAAAAAAAAAAAATCAACTTGGACCCCTACATCAACTATACACAAAAAATAATTCCAGATGGGTAACAAATATAACCATTAAAACAAAAGCTATAACCATTTCTAGAAGAAAATGTACAAAAAAATCTTCACAACCTTGGGCAAATATTTCTTAGAGAGGACACACAAAATAAGTCATCATAAAAAGAAAAAAAGTTAAACTGGACTTCTTTAAAGTTAAAAATCTCTGCTAGACACCATTACTCCAATAAAGTACACATATCCACAATATAAAGATTGCTCACAAATCAATAAGAAGACAAACAACCTAATTTTTTAAATGGGAAAATGATTTGAAGAGACATTTTACAAAAAAACGTATAGGAACGACCAACAAATATTTGAAAAAGTGCTCATTAGGGAAATGCAAGCTAGAACTGCAATAAAGTACTACTACACACTCCCAAAATTACCAAGTGTTGGCAAAGAGGTGGAGAAACTGGAACCCACATGCCTTGCTGGTGTTGGTAAAGCCACCTTGGAAAGCAGTTTAGAAGTTTCTTATGAAGTTAAATATGCACTTACCATTTGACCCAAGGATTCTATTCCTAAGTATTTACCCAAGAGAAATGAAAACACAAGTTCACAGACAGGCTTCCTCATGAATGTTCCAAGCAGTATTATTTGCAATGGCCCAAAAGCAGAAACCACCCAAATGTCCATCAAATTGTAAATGGAAATGTGGCATATCTGCAAAATGGACTACTACGTAGCAATTAAAAGTAACAAATTACTGATACATGATAAATCTCAAAAACATAATGCCAAGTTAGGGGTCAGCAAATTTTTTCTATAAAGAACCAGATAACTAATATTTTAGGCTCTACAGGCCCTACAGTCTCTGTCACCACTACTCATCTCTGCCATTAAAGTGAAAAGGCAGATTTAGAAAACAAGTAAACCAACAACTATGGCTGTGATGCAACAAAACTTGATATTTACAAATAGTGAAGTTTGAATTTCATATAATTGTCATGTCATGAAACATTATTTTTCTTCAACCATTTAAAAATGTAAAAACCATTCTTAGCTTGTGAGCAACACAAAAACAGGCCATTGTTTACCAAACCTTGTGTTAAGTGAAAGAAGGTAGACACAAAAGACTTCATAATGCGTGATTCCATTTATATACCAAGATGCACTTATCCCTTCCTCCCTTTCTTTCTTTCTTTATCATTAAATGAGCTAAAGTACGAGAGCCTGGCACATCACGGATACTGAATAAGTATTACTCTTTTATCTGTGTTCCTTATACTCCCCTTTCCTCTTCCATCCTTCTTTATAAAATGGATCGAAAAGTAAATGTATAAGAAAAAATCTACAAAGACACAGAGTGAATATTACAGTGGTAGTAGGTAGGGTGGTGGAAAGACTTTTACTTCTTAAATACTACTAAGTTAATTTTTAAAAACCTGTATTTTTTTTTTTAAACTAAGGCTTGCAATTCCAAGAGACATAGTGGAATACTTTACATTTTTAAGGAAATCACAGCAGTACTTGACATATGTTGGATACCATGAACTATTAGCTTGAAGTAGTTCACAGTTTCAACATTTGATCACTCTTCCTTTTGATGATGTCATATCTTTATGAAGCCGGATTTTGAGATAGAAGGTTGCCTTAAAACCACAACATTTGGAAAGCTCTGCTCTAGCCATCCCTGTCCCCAAGCGTGTGTGCACGCTCACACATTTCCACTCAATCACGAAAATCAACCTAAAACTTTTCTTGTACTTACCTCAGTGCTTGAAGCAACTAAGGAAAATTCATGAGAGAGGTCAAGCTTAATGCCATCAAAATTTATTTCCGAAGGCCTTGCAATTGGGTCAGCACTAAAAACATAAGATGGTCTGGGCACCCCATCTTGATTTAAGTTAGATTCCATTCTGCAAGAATAACAGCAACTTCTTTAGACAAACTTAATAAATCAGGATGTAAGCCACCCATAGTTTTAAAAGCCTATGAGTCCAACCCACTACTTCCCTGCATAACACTAGATTTCCAGAGAAGAAAACATTAGACCGTTTCATCTACAACATGATGATCCATGGAAAAGACAAGAGATCAAATTATTTACAGATTCTGAATCAAATAATATTGGACACAGCCTACCACTACTATTCATATACTCCAACCTATGGGTAGATTCATCCGGAGAGATTTCATGAGTAAAAGTAATGCACAAAGTAAGACAGTATAAAACATTCAATCTCTGCCTGAAATCCTCCCAGAAATCAAATAGTAAGGGTCTCAGGCCGAGGGGGACTTACCTTGCATGCAATCTTGTCAAAATGCTACCCTAGTAAAGTTCCTTCTATGCTACTGCCACCTTGTGGTTATATCTTTTTCTTGATCAGCCTTGAAACCCCCAAACTCAATAAGATAGGGTTGTTTTCGTTTTTTGCTTTTCCTAAATCTCATAAAGACAAAAGATATTACACATTTACCTTCAACATGGCCCAGCAAACCACAGGAACAACAAACCAGACAATTAAATAAGTTTAACACCTTTATTGCTTTTGTTTTTATTGTATAATCACTGATATCATGAAAATGGGAAAATAACGGCAGTTTGATGGAATATTTCAAACATGCAATTTATGGGTGAAAATTAAGAAAACGCGTATCTGATAGAGTCAAAAATAACCACTTCTCTAGAACATGGGGGGAAAGTTTGCAAAAACATTAAAGTACTGACTTGACATTTCATAACTCAAATTTCATGGAAATGCCCAGGAAACTGGAAGGTAACTTCATTCTTCACCTTCAATTAATTTTTTATTAAAAAAAAAAATGTTGATAAATCTTGTACAAAGTTACTTACTTAAAAAGAATATTTACCTCCTAAGAAACGTAAGGTTATAGTAGTTTATACTTGTTCATATGTTCAGTTTTCAATGAATAAACTGCTTCTTGACATGTACAAAATTATTGAGATATACTGTCACTTTCTGTACGTTTAGTCAACCTCTACTTATGCGTGGCCTCCCTAACTAGACTAGAAACTTCTTGAGGGCAAGGACCTTGTCTTATACTATTCTGTATTCCCTACAACAAATTCAGAAATTTATGTAGTGACTGTCTAATAACAAATAATGATGATAGATAAAATTCTCTATACAAAAAAAAAATATTGGTCCTACTCTTTTAGTGATGTTATCTTTAGCAACAGCAAGGTTCAAGACCTCATTTCTCATTTCAGAATCCCATGACTGAGAAACTACATCTTATCTTCTCTCCAGTGAGATTCCACGGTTGAAAACTGGTGAAAAATAACAAAATCTGCTGCTGAATGAGGTTTCTACATGTCATGCATAAAATATAGCCTCAAAAAAAAAGATCTATTCAACTAAGTGATGAGTTCCTCATATTATTTTTCAACTTGAAGTCTCAGGTCTTAAACATCTAATAAAATATACACACTGCTATGCTGCTTCCGGGTAAACATGCTACCTTGTTCTAAAAACAAAAGCAAACCTGAATTTGATCACCTTAAGCAGGGATTAAAAACAAGCTCCCCCATAAGGCATGAACTTGTGTCAACTAGTCCTTCAGCAAGGAATATTAGAGAGCTGTTGTATGCGAGATCACTGAACCAGAAAATACAACGATAGCCGAAACCCTCTACACTGGGCGATGACAGCAGTCACTGCACTCGCCACACACACCCCCTTCCGCTTGGCACTGCAAAGCCCAAGAAGGGCAAGCCCCAGGCACCGACGGCAGCCAGGAAATAAATGCACAGACGGCCACAACAGGGCTCCTGCCAAAAAGAGACCTTGTCGCCTGCCGAGCAAAGTGCTCACCTTAGGGATGCAGGCTACTAGGTTTGGCAGTGGAGGCCTGAGCCTCAACAACAGCAGCAGGAGCAACAGTAAAAATATTCAGTGCAAACACTTAGTGCCTACTACATACTGGCACTGTTTCAAACAACTTTACGTATTACCATTTTATCTTCCTAAGAGCCCGAAGAGGAAGGTACTATTATTATTACCCTCCTTTAATAAATGAGGAAACTCCCAGAGAGATTTAATACGTTGCCTTGCGTCACTCAGCTAACACGCGGTGGAGACGAGATTTAAACTCTCACAGCAGTAGGGCTCAACTCTCCGAAGTGCACCCAGTGCCCCAGGAGCCCCCATCGCTCCGCAACCCAGTTCCTGAGAGCAACCTCAGGGGCGTCACGAGCTCCGCCGGACGGTTCTCACATTGCCAGAGCCGTTTCCCCGCCTCAGGCCTGGTAATGCGCGCCGTCACCGAACCTCCTTTGTCGCACTCTCACCTGGGCCACCGCCTCTCCCGCAAACTTCGCCTGGTCTGCCGGACCTGCCCGCAGCAACGCGACGTTCTGGTTTTCAAATTCAAACAATGGCGGCCAGGGCACCGCACTGAACGCTGGGAGTGGGCGGGGCTTTCGGAGAGGCGCCGGTGATCGCCGCAGGCTCGCGCTGTGGGCTGCCGGACCGGCTTCCGGAAGAAGCCTGCAAATCTGGGGGCGGATCTCAGCACGCCGGCCAACAAATCGGGGCAGGCGGCCTCGTGGGCGGCCGGCTTGCGGAGACTCGCAGCGTTGGACGGCGCGCCTCTCCTGCGATGGGTACCACCTTCTGTTGGCTGGGACGCCGATCTCACATTCTGTGCTGGAGACAAAAAGACGTGGCGAAGGCTTGGAGGTGAGGCCTCTCCTGCTACGCTTAGCACCGCGACTCCCCTAGGGACCGGCCGAGGAGCGGCGGGCTGTTCAACACCGGGCCCTGTCCTTGCGGGCAGAAACAGGCTTCGCATCCGGAGAGTCCTTTAGAACGAGCGCTGCCGCACCTGAAGGGTCACTTCCCTCGCTGCGTGACCCTACCTGTGGTCCACAGCGGTCCTCATGGACGAAATAAATTTTTCCCGGAAGAGATTTTTATAAGCATTTTCTTCTTTCTGTTCTTTTTTTTTTTTTTTTTTTTTTTGCCTTTCTGAAAATATAAAGCAGTTATCGCTGTGAGGCGCTATACTGTGACAGCCTGTCTTCCTTGCATAGGCGAGGTCTTTGCAGTGCCCAAAATATAAGTGCCAGTACATCTTCTCTGCTTCTTTTAAAGTGATCCATTTCTTTTGAGTGTGATATTATCACGTTCATATAACAAGTGTTTACTATTAGGCCCTCTCTCCCTGCTGGACTTCGTTTTAAAGGAAAATAACTGCTAATGTTAATTGAGTGTTTACCTTGTGCCAGTCATTGTGCTAAGCATATAAAAGATTCTCTTACTGATCCTGAGAACAACCCTTTGAGGCAGGTGCTGTTATCCTCATTTGATAGATGCGGGGAAACTGAGTTCATTTGGTTAAGTAATTTGCTCAAAGGCATACAGCTATTAATGGTGGAGCTGGGGTTTTAAACTCAGCTGAAGGATTTCAAGACCTACCCTCTTACACGTGGTCTGTTTTTCCACTATTTTACTTGGTTAGTAGAATTTTTAGAATACCTAGTTTGATGAGCTTACTGCCTACCTTTCCTTATCATTCTATATGTATATCTTCCATAACCTCCCCCATTCCTCACTAACTTCCCACTGTCTCATTCAATTTGCCTTCCTTCCCCACAAAATAATCATATTTGAGGTGAGCCAGTTTAGAGTACAGAAGAGGATGCAGGGCCTGGAATAAAAATGAACGAGGAAAGTCAATGTAAAAAAGAAAGGAGGAAAAGGAAAATAAAAACTGGTTTTCCTGTCAAAGCTGGAACTCAAGTCTTTAGTGGGCACTGTGTCAAAGTCTCCATTGCTCCTTCACGCAAGTCTACCACTAAATCCATGCTTCCTGTCATACCTCGCAATGCCTTTATTGCTTTTACTTGGTGTTACTGATTCCTAGCTTTTGAGCCCTCCAGATGCTACGTTTATTGTTCAACAGATATTTATTGCAAACCTCTGTGTGCCAAACACTAGGCTAGGAGTTAGGGAAACAGTGGAGGAGAGTGAGCAAAACAGATGCTAACCCTCAAGGAGCTTACATTCTAATGGAAGAGACAAGTTAAAAAATACAAGTAATTGAGAAATTTACAACTATACTTAGTGGTTTGAAGGAAATGTTCTTAAGAGCTTAAGACTATGGGGCCAGTCTGGTGGCACAGCGGTTAAGTTTGCACGTTCTGCTTCTCAGCGGCCTGGGGTTCACCGGTTTGGATCCCAGATGTGGACATGGCACCATTTGGCATGCCATGCTGTGGTAGGCATCCCATGTATAAAGTAGAGAAAGATGGGCACGATGTTAGCTCAGGGCCAGGCTTCCTCAGCAAAAAAGAGGAGGACTGGCAGTAGTTAGCTCAGGGCTAATCTTCCTCAAAAAAAAAAAAAAGAGCTTAAGACTATGTTGCAGGGGAACCTGAGCAAATGATGTTTGATTTGGATCTCCAAGGAGTTAACTAGTTTAAAAAAAAAAAATGTTAGGAGTGGGCAAAACAGGCATAGGGAGCCTAATACCAGGCACAGGCGAAGGATAAATACAAAATCCAATGGATTCTGTCTTATTTTAGTCTAGCTCCCAGAAGCATTCCACACACTTGAATATTTCATCCACACAGTTAAATGTTTCAGCCTTGAAACAGTCTTCATTTGGCTTCTGGGTCAGCAAAAGTTCACTCATTCCTTGTCTGCTTCTAACCCCAGTGGGCACCCATCTGAATTTCCTTTTCTTTTCTACTTACGTTCTAAATTATGGGAGTCTTCAGAGCTTGGTCCTGAGCCCCCTTTTTCTCTCCTCTTTCTTTTTCCTCTTGGAAACCTTACCAACTCCCATGGATTTAAATATCTTTATACTGGTGACTCCTAAATTCCTTATCCTCCCTAGACCACTCCTCTGAGCTCCAACCAGATGCAGATATCTAATTACCCTCTTCACATCTCCACTGGAAAGTATAACCCATATCTCTAACTTAATAATACTGTCCTTTCACTCCAAAACCCAAGTCCTCTCCTCTATAATCTCCATCTCAGTAAATGACACCACCATGTATCTACCCAGTTACAGAAGACAGGAGGATCATCTCTGAGTCCTCCTTTTCCCTCACCACCCTCATCCAGTTCATACACAAATGTACCTGTTGTACTTTCATGTTACAAGTGAAGTAACTACTTTTTTCCCTTTTCATTCCCCAGACGAGTACCGCCTCCCAGCTGGTCTCCCTGCTTCATGTCCTGCTCCCCTCCATTCTTTATACGGCAACCAAACTAATCTTATCAACATGGAAATGATCATGTCACTCCCTGACTTAAAGCCCTTCAATACTTTTTAGAATAAAATTGTTTTTATATTAAGTGAAGAAGAAATGTGCAAAAGAATATACAAAGTACACTAACTTTTGTGTAAGAAAGAAGGAGAAATGAGAATCTGCATACATATATATGCCACACACATTTTCGGCTTATTTTTGAGGAGAGAAATACAGAAATTATAAATCAAAAAAATTAGTTGAAAATGGTTACCTATAGGGGCTGAGAAGGTTTTACAAGAATTAGTGATGGGAGTGTGACTTCTCTGAGGAACGTTTTAAAAAATATATATATAGTTTTGCCTTTTCAAAATAAATCTAAAGCAATGGAAATAAAAATAAGCCCTAAAATTTAATTCAAAGAAAGAAGTGAACCTACCTGTATATTAAATTGCTAGCATGCCCGTATGGAGAAAAAGAATTTGTTCAATTAACTTGAGCGCAGTGCTCTGTGTACTGGAGTTAGGAGTTGTGAGATACAGTGTAAGAGGAAAAAAGTGCATAGAAATCGATAACTTTATTTAGTAGGTTTGATGTTGAAAGTGGTATTGGTTTAGTAATTTTGAAACTATTATGCGTGTGTTATGGGAAAAAGCAAATGAGTCAATATATTTATGTTGTTTGGAACCATGATTCTCATTGTGAGAGAAGGGAAATAAATAAGGAATGATAGAAGTTAAGGAAGAAGTGCATAATGTTGGATTTGAACTGGAGGTAGTGGAATGAAGCCGTGATTTTTTTTTATGTTAACTGGGTCCATTAAGAGGGCCTAGAGGCCTGGAAGCCCTGACACCCCAGTAACAATGAGCACACCTGGTGCCAAGCCATCCAGATGGTTTCTAATACCATTTAACACTAAAAGGAGCTGGTGCTCCTTGGAGAGAGAAAGCAGATTCCAAGTTTGGAGCAGGGAAGTTGCAAAGTGAGCCTGGAACGTTCTTGACAGAAAGCAAAAAAGTCCGTAGAGATTAATAGAGTCATTTCAAAGGGACACCAGACCTGGCTTAAAGGGGCTCCCACTGACCAAGTTTGGAACAATTTGAAGATCAAAAGGAATAATGATGGTAATAGATTAAAACAGATTTCTTTTTTTTTTAAGTTCTCTCTATGAGAGAGAGGGGGAAGGGAATAAAAACGAAAAGCTCTTTACACAAGAATGCCAGTTAATTAATGCAAAACAAATAATAAATAGAAAATCCTCATTTTACAATTTCCAGTGTAAAACTTGATATAGGTAAGGCTTATCAATGAGTACTAAAACAATGGATGAAAGATGCTAAAACCATTGACTGAAAGGTTGTTGGGGAACAGGATGTTAACATTATCTCACAGAATCACCCTAGGAATCAATTCTAATTATAAAGGGAAAGATAATTTTACAAGGTAAGATTTATTTATCGGACATACCTTAACCAAGTTGGGAAACTTAGCATCACCACTAATGTGGCATTCTATCTATCACCTGATGCTATTTGTGCAAGAAATGTTTAACCTGAATCTAATTACAAAGGAGCAATCAGAAAAAAAAGAAGGTAGAACGTTTTACAAGAAAACAGGCCTAGGCTCTTCAAAACTGTTAGTGTCAGGGAAAAAGGAAAACAAAAACAAGATGGAGGATTGTTTTAATGAGGAGACACAGAAACGTTGGCCAGGTGAAATTCATGAATCTTGATTGGTTCATAGATTTTTTTAAAGTAACTACAAACAACATTTTGTGGATAGTTGGAGAAATTTAAATATGGACTATATGTTAGATGATACTGAATCAGTATTAAATTTTTTGTATGTGATAATTTGTGACTATATAGAAGAATGTCTTTGTTTTTGAAAGCTACTTGCTTTAGTATTTAGCAGAAAAGTGTCACAGTGTCTGCAACTTACCTTCCAAAGATTTGGCCAAAAGATAAAACAAAAACAAAATAGAGGGAATGTGAGAGAGAACAAAAGAATAGAGAACACAGAGAATAGAACAGAAAAAAGCAAATGTGGCAAAAAGTTAATAATTGGTGGATCTAGATAAGAGGTATAACACTGTACATTGTGCCACTCTTTCAACTTCTTAAAATAACTTCGAGATTTTCTGAAATAAAAAGAAGAGGGAAAATAATTTCTGATTCTTTACAGTGG